GCTGACTGGCTTCCCGAAGGCTTTCACCAGCTCGCGTCATTTCGCCTCTCCAATTAGGGTAAAGAATAAGATTTTATTTGAAGTTTTTGTATTTTTAATATATTTTCTTTGTGTTGAAGTTTCTCCAGTGGTTTGAAAGATATAGTGGTGTATAGTTGCTGGCCCCACGCCCTACCCACCCTCTCTACCCGGGCTTGGGACAGGCTAGAAAACTAGCGAGCTTGTTAACTAGCCGAGGTTCACTTGGGAGTATGGTTTCGGTTTTTTAAAATTAACACCTAAAGAGTAACTTTTGCGAAAAATCGTTTTTGTTTTTAAAATATGCAGAAACCTTCTGCTCACATTTTCCCTTTTTGATAACTTGTTTTATATTTGCCAGTTTCTTTATTTGAAAAAGAATTAATCTATAAGGATCAGTGGATTTATGTACCTAGTCTGCAAACTACTCCCTCCCTAGTTTTTCCAGAAAATTTTCGCAGGTTAAGGGTTCCGCACACCTGATACGCTTGCCAGTTTAAATGATTTTTGTGTTAACATTCGCGCCGTGGACTTCCATTTGTGAAAACTCCTCTATCACTGTGTGTGGAGGATTGTTTTTCAAGGTAGGCCGACTTTAGCCGGTTAGTGCCCACACTGCTCGGGATGCTACCTCATTGAATAAAAAAGCGATCGAGTGCCCTACCGTAACTTCAAGAGGTCTTTCATACGGTGAATTGAGGGCTGGTTGTACCTTATCGCATCTTACCCATACATAGAAGCGGGAGTCCAAGTCCTTTGATTTGTATATTGCCCTTTATTGTTCTCATGAGGCAATCCTCGTCGAGTTAGCCATTCATAGTCACACTCTGTCAACGTGAATAGCCTGGTCAAGGTTGTTCTCATCAGCTTTTGCAGTGATAAACTCTCCAGGCAGTTTCAGAGTGTCTTGGAATACCGTTTCGGCAGAGTAAAATGGGGCATCAGCTTCTATTAACGTTCGGATGACAAACATTACCACTGGTTGGAATTATGTCCGTTGAGGGGGATTAGAGAGAGATATCCTTGCAGCCTTCAGTTGTCGATGAAAGCGTTCTGTCACCTCGTTAGCCTGAGGTGTGCAGCGGATTCTGTGTGATCCGAGGAACTCAAAAAATTTATTGAACAGCTCCGACATGAATTGAGCTCCCCTGTGAGTCAATATAGTCAAAGTGTCTATATAGTGTTGAAGAAAGGCTATCGCTACTGTTTCCGCCATAACATCAGCAATTGCTGTAACTGCCGAGAGCCTGGTAAACCTAAATAAATGATTGAATCCGTTTGAGTACGGAAGGAGACCCGAGAAGTCCACATGAACAAGGTCGAAACGAGTTTCCGGCTACAATAATATTTCTAAATGTGACACTGTGCGTCTAGTTATTTTAGCCTTCTGGCATGCCATACACTCCTTTGCCCACTTCTGTACTTCGCTCTGTATGATTCGCCGAATGTATCTCACCGAGACTATTTTGGCTGAAGCCTCTGCAACAAGGTGTGATAACGAGTGAAAAATACTTTGAAAGTCGCATCTGAACTTCTGGGTTCAGGTCCACCCAAGTCTCATGTGGAAGCAGCATGGGGCCATTTTAATCAACTTGGCGGCCAAGTAACCCAATATTTCATTCTTTGGCCAGTTTCAGAGTAACGAAAACATTGTTCCACATGGATAAACCGAGAGATTTATTGATTATCCAGGCATAAGGATATGCTATAACCTGTTTGTCACACCTGAGGCTTCTGAGACCAGAAAGCTCTGCACCCTCGCTATGAATAAAGATATTGTGTAAATCTGCCAGTCAAGGATGAAGTTCAAAATGCAATGACAAAGTCTAGGAAATTGTTTTCGCAAATTAACCTCAAGGATGACATCCGATGGGTTTTCACACCTCAATACTAACAACAGCAGAATCGAAGAGGACCAGGAAAACGCAGGAGTGACGGCAAACTACTTCTCCAGCTTCTCTACACAGGATTCATCACTCCAAGAGCACCGTCTCTGCTCGCATCAAAGAAATACAGGATAGACTCCGTTGATGTCGACCGAGACATATTATCCGATTCGCCGGGGAAGCTAGGTACAGGGAAGTCAGTGAGACCTGATGACCTTCACCAAGGCTCTCAAGGAGCCTTCAGTTCATGTCCCCAGCCGACTGACTACGATATTCAAGCTGTCTCCTATGAATAAAGTGTTAACATGTGATTGGAGGGATGCCAGAACACCCTCATCCACAGTGGAGAATCGAGACAATATCCTTCTAACTACCGGTCTTTTAGTCTCATCAACACCTTAATCAAGATACAGGAAAGAATCGTCAAGAAAGTCACCATACACTAACTTGACACCAATAACTTGTTGTCAAGAGCACATCATGGCTCGCAAAAAAACCCATCATTTCTGTCAAACCTTATTACGAAATGCGAAAGATAGGCCAAGTCACGGTGTAACAACAGAAGTCAAGACAGGGAAAGGAAGGTATATTTTTCATTATTCGGCAAAGCTAAACTTTATTCACCGCCAACTACCAATCAGCGAACGACCATCAACGAACCAATCACATGGAAAAGGGGTTTTGGCTAGGGAAAACGTAGATTTATGAGAAAAGAAAGCATAAAATCTGCATAAAACTGTTACATAGGGTATCTTTCTCTAACATGTTGCGGAAACATCTCTCAGTTTAGCATAGGAGTGTCAGCAGAAAAGCTGCACTACATTCTGCACATATATTCATCTCAATGACCAGAAATGACATCCTTTTGAGATCCATTTATAGCCCTAATCCTATTTCTTAATCTTCCTCAAAATCCTTCTGTACAATTCGTGTGTGTCCCTGTAATTGGATCCACAAAATCACTAGAATGTTTCACTCTGTGATGAATATATCGAGGGGGATGACAGCGAGTTATAACCATTCCATTCGTCAGTATGCACTACAGAACCGTGTTTCACCAGTCGAGTGACAATAGGTACTAAGGTAGTAGACTTTCTGTCTGCTATTCTCTCCACGAATCGTCTCTGCAGGGAGGCGTCATATAAACCGATCACCCAGACATTGTTAGGTCGCTCGCGACGACGGTTGTATTTTTCTTCAGTAAGACAGTTTCATCCACCTATACGATGACGCCTTCTCCTCCTGATAACGAAGTAATTCTCTCCATTTTCCATGGCGCGATGTTTCTGCAGTGCTGGTACCACTGAACTGCTAACACGAGGTTATTTTCAATTTCAGCAGCTGAGTCTCTCAAAGGCTGTTTTAAAATCGAGTAATTACAAATATACGAAATATGGGTTAGGGAGAGATGGGACCAAGCAAAAATGTTCCTACAAAATACTAAAATCATTGGCTAACCTTATCTAATACTAACTCGTCTCAAGCAAACTGCACAACGATGGACATATCCACCAATCGACCTTCTGAAGCCTTCTTAACTCATGACACCACCACATGAACAAATCCCCTACTTCCTAAGCAACCCCAAATCCATGCAATACTGCAAAACCTTATCCTTATCAAACTGCAAGCGTAACTTCGTTAGAGCAGGTATTCGACACGAATACAGGGGAATACAACCTTGAAATCACGTGCATGAACCTCATTGGATCATTCGAGGTCATTCACTGATTGGTGGTTTGTGGTACTTAAAATTTAACTTGGCCCATTAGTCCAACCGCTATCTCTAATTCAACAGTTTATATTCGTTAACCAACCACTGACCGTGTGATTTCGGTTTACATCAAACGACATAAAATAGAATGTTCAAATATACATAGTATTCTGTTGTCAATGCAGTATCGAACTGTGAGCAAAGTATTTTGTCTCTAACATCAAACAGAATGTTCAAATAGATATATCATATATATAATAGATATCATATTCTATGGCTAATGCAGAATTGAACTGTGTGAATATGTGAGAATAATCTTCCGTTGGCACACATTGTCTGTATCACACTACCACAAAGGGACTACAGAAGACCCATCAATGTTGTCCTCGTAGACTTCAGCGAAGCCTCCGACGAAGTACCTCACAAAGACTGCTCACCAGATTGGAATATCTTGTAATCAAAGACAGCTTACCGAAATGGATTAGGGAACTCCTCGTAGGTAGGAGACAGACAGTCAGAATCAACTCAAAACTCTCCTCATGGACAACAGTACTTGGTGGGGCAACCTAAGGCACTTTACTCGGGCTCCTCTTATTTAATTTGCATTTCAGCTAGTTATCCTCCATGGTCCTATGCTCAGATGACTTAAAAATTTGGAGGGGGTCAAAGGACGACAGTGATACGATCATACTGCAAGGAGACCTCAAAAAGTTATTAGAGTGGTGTGAAGGGTAGATACTCCCTATCAACGTAGAGAAATGCGCAACCATGCATATTGGACATGCAAGCGTCAGAACATAGGAACCGGACTGAATAACACCCGTACCAATTCAGACTAATTTGGATCTAGTTGTCATAATAAGACACGACCTAAAAAATTAAAGCACACTGTTGAAAGGTGGTGGCATATAGATTCAAATCTGTATGGGCGCTTCATAAAGCCTTTAATTGAATCACCAAAGATATGTTCACTACCTTATATACATCTCTGGTGAGTTCAAGACTGGAAAACTATATCTTGAAAGAGACTAACATAACTTAGAATAAGGCAACACGTATGATTCTCGGCATGACCACGGACCTGACCTTTTCACTCTCTTCCTACCCACCTGGCTGGAACGCCCCAGATGACATGACAGGAGAGTTTGAAAGACAAGGGAGATCTAAATAGCTGTGAAGTACTGGTTCTAACACTGTCATCAACTCCTGGAACAGATTCCCAGAAGAAGTGGTGTCAATGCCTTCAGTTGACTCATTCAAGAAGGGTTTAAAAAAGCGCAGAAACTTACTAGAAAAGTACTAAAATAGTCTCTGAGCATTCTATCCTCCATCAATTAGTCTTACATCTGTACTTTGGAATCCGATACGTTGAGTAAGACGCGGACTGTATAAATTGAACGCTTCACAAGTGAGTTCAGCAACCGTAAATGTTGTATCGGGAGTTTATGTGCATTGGATACCCTATTTTCATGAAAATTGTCTGTTGCGCAACTTCCTAAAACTTATTGTGCCTTTAACTTGCAGAATTTTACCATGTGCATGTACGCTACATGTATATTGTATTCAATTATAACGTCATCAGCTATGCTACTTCTGAAGACTTTTCCAAATAAGTAGGTAAACTTATAAAAACCGTATAAAAATCCTCCATAAAACGAGCATCCGGAGTCTTCATCAGTCTATGTAGACAAGTGAAGTCGTCGGCCGCATTTCGACCCAATGCAGCTTTCTCTTTTTAGAAAATTTCGGGTTATTTTAGGGAAAACAATCACGTTCCAAAAATGTATACCTTGATCATCGTCGAAATCGCCAGTAAGTTATTTCACTTGGGTGGGACGTCTTTCACGATAGAAATTTTCAAAGTTGTTATAGTATCCACTTTACACTCCAAGTTTATTTTGAGACATACGTGGAGGTTGATAGAGGGATTTTGTTGCTTTTAAGTTATTAGCCCTGAGTGTCTATGAATTATGGAAAAATGCAGCGAGAATAGGCTGATTCGTTAAAATCCTAATCAATACATGCGAGAATTGTTTATTATAAAAAGTCATATGTAACAAATACCTTGACATGTAACCAGCAAAAATATTTTCATTGTGTTATGCGTATCAGGTTGAGAAGTAAAGTGATGAGACTGTTTCCAAATGTCACAAGTAAAAATCTTACGACACTGATGAGCGCAGACGTGGAAAACCAAGAAATATAATATTATGGTAAGGCTTAGGGTTGAATAAGGGCTTATCTATCTTTAGACATAAATCGCATAATACGGAACCTCTAACTATATTTTTGGTTGTATCGTGAATCTCGAACAGTGATTCAGTATTCCCTCACATGGTGGTGAGAAGTTTCACGAATTGATGCTATATCTAAGTGTTGCTACTTTTATCTTTCTTTAAATCCTTTCCCATCACAGAGAACATAACTCATTGACATACGCGGTATGCAGAACAAATGACCTAGCCAATCTAGCCGGTAAAGATCCACTGGATGAAGCAACTCGCTTCCAAGTTTTCTGCATACTTCGTCTGATTGTCTTGTTGATCATAGCATGATATGGGTGAAGCTAACGTTTACTTGGATTTGCAACGTCAGCTGATTTATGAATAAACCAACGAAAGCTGTGATATAATACTGGTCTATGAAACCACCAGCTGTTAGCATTAACTACTTATGGGGTTTCAAGGATCCTGATTTTTACTTGTGGTTTTAAACACTGACATTTGAATTTCACTATGAGTGTGGTAGTTGCATCCAGCCGTAGTCTATCTGTAGGATATTAAGTTCGTGGTAATTTGTTCATTTGTCCCTTGCTCTTTGTTTCTTTTTATTTGTTATTTTACCCATTTTTACAGCTGTTGTAATTCTCAGTAATTCCCCTTCAGCTAATTTTTCTTTAAGCTAACGTAAAGCGATATGTTGTTACTGCGATCATACACTAAAGTAATTTCCAAAACTAAATTTTAAGACCCATTGATTCAATCGATATATTTGGTGAAGTTATATCAGTTGAGATGGTCAGGACACGTGTCGCGCATTCTGACTTACCGCCTTCCTTGACGAACAATATCTGACAGCATTAGCTTGGAATAGAGTTAAGAGTGGTTAAATCCAAACATGCGATCAGTCCATGAATTTTTTGACCGTTAATTTGAGCCAATCGCGTAAAAAGGTGTAGACTGCCTGACTAAGGTCTTCAGGATGCCAAGAAACAATAGCTAAAGACTATAAGTGATATTGCTCAAAATCGCCATCACTGGTACAGATGTATTCATTCTGTGTAATCTCACAGATTTATTAAATTCTCCTGCTTTTCCATGTGACCGTTCTCTCTTCCGCACATTTTTGCTACATCTCGTGTAGCAACCTGAAATGCTGCACTTCTGTGCATGGTTGTACGCTGCAACTCAGTCAGTCAATCACTTAAGAACGACGATGTTGAATAGTATCCAATTAGAGATATAAATAATGACATGTATAAAGTAATTCATCTTTATCCTCATTTTTATACCTTTTTATCTATCTGACTTTAATAATTCTGTAATCTGCTTTCAGCCTCCCCATTGTTAGTCCCTATGCCGTCTTAATGGTTGGAAATTCTAAGCTGGCTGATCTTCTTGACCTGCCAACTCCAAGTGTATCCGAAGGTATTTAGTGCCTATCAGTTATAAATTCATCACCAGATAGTTATTCAAAGTTTGTTAGACAAATATGAAAATTCAGAAATATATACATGGTTAGGCAGAAGTATTCTACTTTCAATCAATCCAAAATATACATCTGCACAAAATTATTCCTGTGACAATGTGAATGAATTTACTGAGGTAGTTATTATTGTTATTTTTTTGTATGATGTTTAATCATTATTTTACTTAGATTTCTTCTTGTTGCTGGAGAAAACCGCATGTTTTTTCTGTTGCGGAAGAATGTTTATGCCAACTGGCTACTACAGGACATAATCAATCAATTATTATTACTGGTACAAGTGGATCAGGGAAAACAGAAGCTACCAAGCATATATTACATTATTTAGCTCATAAAAGTAGTGTAAAACGTCGAAAACAAATGTGAGATTATTATTATTCTCTGCTTGCTATCTTATTTCATCGTTTTTTATTACACAAGTAATGCTTCTTGCCTATTATTTGATTAGTCTCTTGACGTGACATGGTGGTTGGACTTGCATATTTCAGTGACTCAACAAGTTCAACTGGTTGGAAATAATGTTCCTGTCAATCATACTATGCCAGGTATTTGGATAGTGGTTAGACTAAAGGTAGTTAACCTCGAGGTGTGAGCTACTCACTATGTTGAGGGTCTGTAGGGGAAGTCGTACTGCGAGGGAATAGGCATGCAACAGCAGTAAGGTGTTTTCTTCGGATGACTAGAAAGCCAGGTATGTTGCCTCTCCGCTTTACCGAGAAGGAAGATGGTTGGAGAAGGTCAGCGCCTAAAATCGTACATTCCGACTTACCTTGCTACGGTCCGTAGTTGGCGGTAAGGTTATCATACGGATACAACCCTGAATATAACTTTGGGCGCACCTCAACTAGCTGTCCTTTGTGGTCTGTGATCATGCAGTACTAGTGCTGCTTCAGTTGTAGATATTTCGAGGAAAAAATCAATTTTCATGGTGTGGGCAGCCAGGATTCCCACTATCCCCATTTGTTTACTTCGAACCCTAACTGTCTTCAGCGACTCAAAGATTGAATTGTTACTAGGATATAATCTCGGTGACTTAGAATATGCAGATGATGTAGTCCTGCTTCTAAGTGAAGACGTTTACAAAATGCAGAGTCTTCTGGACACCTTGAGCAGCTGTAACCTTCGAATGTTTGGCATGTGATTCGTTCCCTCTGTCAAATGTAAAATGGTGCTACAGGACTGGACCACATCGACTCGCTCCTAGCTTAAAGAGAGGGAGGGATTGAAATGGTGGTTGAGGATGTTGACCACTTGCTTCACTTATTTTGGGAAGTTGTATCAGCAACCGCCAGCGGTTTGTTCGCTGACGGAATCTCAGCATGAATACAGAAGGCTCGTTTGGCATATGCCTGCCAAATTACTCCATCTCTGGCTTGGTAGATGTGATATCTGGCTGGCTATAGATCAAAGTATGTGTGTACTGCTCAGCAGTTCTCTCTGACCTCCTTTATGGCTGTTAGACATGACCATTCAAAATTGAAGACAGGAATAGGTCAATCCTTAAGTTGCTAAAGTTAGTTAGGCTCAGTTCTATTGATATATCTCTAAAGAGACCAAACAAAAATGAGTACAACGGGCATGTCTGACGGACACCACTAGTTGTCATCACTTCATATAATAACTCTCTCCTCACAGAAGGTCTTACACGACCGCATGAGTTCTAGTAGAGGGCTTTATTTTTTTATTTTAATCCTTTACTTTCCGTGTGGAGCATAAGGCTTCAAGCACTCAGCTTTAGATTTTCAGTGGCCGTGGCGTTTATTTTTTACGGTGTGGGGTTGCTAGCCTCACGCCCAACCTTCCCTCTTTGTGGGGGGCTTATTGCGGGCGTAGCGAGGTTGTGTTGCTTCAGTCACGGATCGAACCCCGAACGACGTGGTTGGTTCAAGAGTATTCTACCACTTAACCAACAACGACGTCTTGATTGGTGTGATATACTTGCTTGGTACTTTCTTTACAGCCAAACATTTCTGCAATATCTTTCGGTCGACGGAGTGAAATAGCGCCTTCAAGTGAAGAAATATGTCAGGTGTTGGACGCCCGTAGGAATGACTGCATTCCAGAATCTGTCGAAGGGTGTATATACATATTATCGATACACCCTCTTCCTAGCTTAAAACCTGTCTACCCTTCCAGGGTTTCTTTCTCACGATCGCCACTTAGTCCATGCATGATTATTGAACCTAGAATTTTAGATACTATATTAGTCGGAATCATCCCGTTATGATTATCATCACAGGAAGAATTGTCTCCCTTCTTGTAAACTAGGTTAATCAATGGTTTACAACCGTGTGATGGAACTATCTCTGATTCCAAGACATTACTTGATACTATTAAAAGAATTAGTCCCTTTGATAAATTTGAATAAGGCATTTAGAAGAAAAATTTCACGAGATGATATCGTCATTTCGTAGTTTCTTTACAACCGCTTTACAACTAACATGCTTGGTTCACAATAATAAAATAAAATGCATGACAGTCACTCAGTTATATAAAACAAAAGCACACACCATAAGAATGACCAATCATATTTAAATAGGTCAAGTAGTCCATATACTCATCCAAATTTCCGAGTGACTTTCGAATTCGAACTGAATAACAAACTCGGTTTCCTAGATATTTCAATGTCCAGGAGAGAAGATGGAACGATTAAGCGATCTATATTTCGTGAACAGATATGGAGTGGACAATATCTTCATTTCACCAGTTTTGTTCCTATCCAGTATGAACGTTCCCTAGTGCAATGTTTGTTCTCAAGGGCCCACAAAATATGTACGAGCGACACATTGATGGATGAGCTTCAACATATACATTCAGTTTTATTAGCGAATGGTTATCCAGAAAACTTGCTTAATTATTTGTCACAGTAAGGATAAACCAAATCTTGAAAAGACAGCTTCTGTACCAAAGAAAGCTATATTTATCAACCTACTCCATTCAAGGATGATCAAAGTATGCAGTTGACATTTAGCTCAGAGAGTTCGGTCAGCGATCAAACGCACATTCTATGCCGCATCTCTTTCCCTCACATCTCGAATATTTTGGATTCCTATACCTACGATTAAAGGACGAAATTCTGTGGACTCTACTTCAAGCTGTATCTACGCTGTTCACCTGCAGTTGTGGTAACACCTATATAAGTAGAACCAATAGAATGTTTCACGATCATCGAAAAGAACATCTTCCAAAATAGTTATTAAAACACATAGAAAATCCAAATACAATTAATCTGAATAGAAATCCATCATCGTCCATTGCAAAGCACTTATTAATGTCAGGTCAAAAAATCAATATTCATGACTGCTTCACAATTATTTCATCACATAACTCTAATTCAAAGTTGGTTATTGAAGGTGATGGAAGCACTTTGGGGATTAATCACATACATCCTAAACTATGTGTACAAAAGACAAAGACTTCAACCTTTGCCCACCATGAACTGACTACTTGACCTATTTAAATATGATTGGTCATACGTATAGTGTGTACTTTTGTTTTATATAACTGAGTAATTGTCATGAACTTTATTTTATCATTATTGCGAACCAAGCATGTTAGTTGTAAAGTGGTTGTAAAGAAACTACGAAATGACGATATCATCTCGTGAAATTTGTCTTCTAAATGCCTTATTCATACTGTGGTGACAGAGCTGTCTGCTAGCCAAAATCGGTAGACAGCAACTGACGTCAATGTTTACGTCCCAAATCTTGGTCATGAAAAAAAACAGCAAGAACAAAGACTAACTCAACAACCAATCACAGCGGGCTTTGCGTGGGCGTGTATGAATCGCAGATATATGCTGTGACATTCAAAGAAACGGCCGCAAACAGATGACAGAATAACCTTCAGCAGGAAAACAACCAATCAGAAGACGTTGCCTCTCTGCTAACAATAATGCTAATAATAATGTACATAAAAATCTATAAATATCTGTTGATTTTCTCAATAAATGATCTGTTGCCTGGTCCTTGTCCTTTTGTCGTCACAATACTACTTAGTGCCATGGTTAACCCAGACAACAGCTTGTCACTACCATCCTTGATAAAATTCATCGATTTATCATTTGATGCATAGTTCCTACAAGCTTATATATGTTTTTGGCTAACTCAGTCATTCAATTTTCTAATGTTTATTTTTACGAGTTGATCACGGATTGATGTCTGTTAGAGAACCATTGAAAACCAGGGAGTACTGGACAGCTGTTTCACCCTAGTTCGGGAATCATTGGCAGTACGCATCCACTGGGGTTCGAACACAGGACCTTCTGGTTATAAGGCGAGCTCGTAGACCATTGAACCACTGGGACCCGATTCAGTGGCTCATGAATTCTAACTTCTACCGATTCGTGATTTAGCGCGACCCCAACCATCCATCCTCACACGTGACATCTGGATGGACCTCATTGGTCACGACTTCTCACTAGAACTCCAGGAAACTCCATCCTGTAGCAAGTCACTAGCCTTGTAACCGGAAGGTCCTGGGTTTGAACCCTGATGGTGGGTGCGTACTGGCAATGATTCCCAAACTAGGATGAAACAACTGTCTGGCAGTACTCCATGCTGGTTTTCAGTGGTTCTCTAATTGATATCAATCCGTAATCAACTCGTAAAAAAAACTAACCCTTACAAACGAAACTATAGAAAATGTTTATTTGTGTGTAATTTATTCTGTTGTTTTTTCTCTCCCTCTATATAATGGTTCAATAGAGCAAAAACTGAAACGCATATCGAGAATACTATTCTACAATCGAATCCTGTACTAGAAGCCTTAGGTAAATCCATTTTGAGTTGTTTGATTTGTTTTCTTTGAATTCTTCAATTCACAAAGGTAATGCACAAACTCAATTCAATGAGAATAGTTCACGTTTTGGTAAATATATACGTCTCATTTATGATCGGTAGGTTGAAACTTCAAATTTCCTTATTGATATTTTCTTCTAAACAAAAAAAATATTAAAGGAATCAAATTCTTGTTGGAGCTAAGCTGCAAATTTATCTATTGGAAAAGCCTAGAGCTTTGTTCACGCCTAAATCGTTACATTCATCATTTCATATATTCCGTTGGGTAAGTAGTACACTACTATGCATGTGTTGTGTTTTTGTTGTAATTAATTATTGATTGGTTACAGGATTTCAACATGAGCTGACATTGGTTAGAGAATCATTGGAAAACAATCTGGGAGTACTGGACAGCTGTTTCGTCAGCCTAGTTTGGGACTCTTCATCGGTACGCACCCACCAATATCAGCTCATGATGAAATCCTGTAACCAATCAAATCCCTACAAACCAACACTTGAATAACTATTGATTTCTTTTCATGGGTTGTTTTACAGGGATTTCGATTGATCGATTTCAAAGTTTGATCATCAACTGACAACTTTAGTTAGAGGTGTATGTGTTTGCACCATCTAAGTGCAAAGTACTGTTACAAAATTGGCAGGAGCCTGTACCTGCAGTCACTTTTGCGGGTGAACCGCTTGAAGTTGTCGATAAGTTCGTGTTTCTGGGTAGTTGTGTGAATGCTGGCGGAGGGGTGACGGACCATGAAAGCTAGGTTGGCACACGTTAGCTTGAGTCACCTCTGGCGCTGTCGTGACGTTAGTCTGCCTGTCAAAGGTCGGGCATACAATGCCTCGGCGCGGGCTGTCTTGCTCTACGCCTGTGAAACTTGGCCTCCCCGAGCTGTGGATGTGCGGCAACTCTGCGTATTTGACCACCGTTATCTCCGCAGGATTACTAGTGTTCGATGGCATCATCGCGTGAGTAATAATGAGGTCCTATAGCTTGTGTTTGGACACAGTGGAAATTACCACTCCTTGAGTGTTTTCATCTGGAGACACCGGCTTCGGTGGCGAGGACGTGTCCTACGAATGTCATCCCAGAGGCTTCCGTACAGGTCTGTGTTCACTAGCCAGCCCTGGGACGGGATGGAAAAAGCGGAGAGGTAGGTGATCAGTCCATGATGTGGCGTCGTGGGATGAAGTATATTTGTGTTAGGTTAGCATCGGCTGGTGCGTCATGACTCCCTGGTTGGAGTCCAAGAGATAGCTCGAAACGTTATGGGATATGGCCAAGAACCGTAATCAATGGCGAACGTGCTGAAATTTCCTTCTTTCTTCCCTTTCCGACAGTAATTAAAGAATGCTGTTCGAACTTGTTAAGTGTGACTATTTTCCTTCCAGATGAATTATTCTGTCGGTTCTATGTCTATATTTTTACTTTTAATCTATTTTGCTTTATTATTATTGTGTGACGCATTTTCCTGGTGCCATACTGTACCAAGATTTTTTGTGTTTAAATAATAATAATAATAATAAAGAATCAGTTAGAGAACCAACATTGAAAACGAACCAGGTACTCTACTGGATATCTGCCTTTTCCTAGTTTTGGGACTCTTCACAGCAGTGATCATCCAAGACTCCATCATCAGGGATTGAACACGAGACCTTCAGGTTATCACGGCACGCCCGTTGACCATTCAGCCGATGTGGCTACTAGTTGGATGTCCTAAAGAGTTGTAATAAGGAGTCGTGGCCAGTGGGGGGTCCATCAAGTCAAGTTGGAGTGGATGCTGATGGATGGCATTGATCGAGCGTAGCATTACATCACCAATTGAAAAAGATAGAATTTTTGGGGCCAAGTAGCTTGGTCTCGTAACTCGAAGTTCCCGGGAGTTTGGACGTGGGTAAGTACCGTTGAAGAGTCCCATAGTAGGTCGACAGAGCTGTCCAATTCTTTTTTACACTTAATAATATAACTGCTTACATAATCTCGGATCTATGTTACTCATAGTTCTTATCAATATTTCATTTGTCAGTGTGATAAAAGCGTGTCCAAACGTTGGGTTTGTGTAATTTTGTAGAGAATTCGTGAAATAATAATAATAATGAAAACAAACACACGTAGTTCAGTGAAGAAGCTGTTTTTGGCGGCGAATTCGTCTTCCTCTTCGGCTGTACAATCGTATTGATATAGACAGGATACGCGTCAAACGACGAATATACCTGGGTCCACAAGAATAAGTAAGGTGATATGTGCACATAGAAGTAGTCAGATGTGAAATTGTGTCCTTAAGGCGTCTGTAGACCAATAGACGATTGGAGAATACTAATTTTAGTGTTGCTGCAGCGAAGGATGTTCTTCTCCAGAGATGATGAAATTCCTCTGTTAACGATATTGCAGGTTAAGTCTCCCCTGAAGTCAAGGCTCATACAAAGTTTCTATTTTAGGACAAGTAATGTTTAGTTTCTCTGAACTTTTGGTTTGAAATACTTGTTGATGAATCTCGGTGGGTATCCATTTTGGATAAAGATTCCTTTCAGAAGATTTAGTGGTGCTTCTAAGGTGTCAAGGACTACAGTTTACTTGTTCTTTTGGAGTCAGGTATATTGGTCATTCGACGCGTATCCTGTCTAATGGGGCTGAAGAATACTATCAGACATGATTACAGAAATATAGCAGTGAGATAATCAAATACCTTGTCAACACTGGTCATTCCATCTCATCAACAAATGTCTCCTTCAGAGTAATATACAAAGTGAAGAATAAACTACCAAAAAAAATACACCTTCATCTGCTTTGCATTGCAGAGGCTTTAGCCATTCAGTTAGAGAAACCAGAGCTATGCTTACAAAAGAAAATTACTCAGCCACTTCAGTTGTCATAGTAACAACCCTGTTGATTTCTGCTCACTTGATTTTTGTTTGTTTTTCCAACTCCTTACAACTTTTGTGTTTCTTTATGGCTTCTACATATTTCCATATTTTCCTTCTGTCTGCATCATAACTACAACTCATTCAATACATTATTCATCTTACTATGTGGCTCTAATCACCTTATTCAACTACTGGGAGCTAATTATGGCGCCATTTTTTCTCAGAGATTGTTTCACTTATCATTTGCCTTTTACCATCTGTTTCCCTGATAAGTCTAACTAGCCGTCTGGTGTTACCTATCGCCGATGCCTTTTCCATCTCTTTCGCTTTTGTCGCCCAGCACTGTTCACGGTCGTCACATCGATTGTGATATAGTTAGGATATGTGATTGTATGCCAGTCATCGCCTTCCTCGACAACAAGCAATGTTAGCTGATCAGGTTGGAAAAGAGCCATTGGTGGTCATCATCATCAGTCAATGAAATCCACAACAGTTAGTTTAAGACAGTCACGTATGAAGGTATAGACTTCCTGGTCGGGGTCATCGGGACGGTAAACTTTAATGACTGGAGACAGTTGGTGATATGGCTCAAAATCTTTGTTGTCAATGGTTAATGAAAATGCATCCACTCCTTGGGACTTATAATATTCCCAATTCTTCGATATTATTATTCTTTTTGCCGCATATTTCTGTTTATTATCTCTGTCTCTTTTGAATCTCTTTTTACTATTTTCTCTTGCTTTGTGTGCTATATGGAGTGAGTGTGGCAACTCGAACTGGTGCACATCTGTAAAAAGTCCTACGTTGGAACCAGTCAGTCAGTATTCAACTCCTCTTATGCATTGATTAGTAATATTAACAACCTATGATCGTGACAACTCATCACTTTTGTTACTATCCTCTTTCATGAAATGGAAGTCGTATATTAATGCGACTGTACAGCTAAAGAGGAAAATGAATTTGCCGCCGGGAGGGGAGCTTCTTCGCTGAACTGCATATTTCTTTCATTAATGTCTGGATAAAGGTTATTCAAGAATCAAATGACTTATTTTTTCTCCTGTTATTTTCTTCAGTTTTTAGAATCTCTCTCAGAAGAGGATCGTGTACAGTTTTGTTTAAATGATTGCCAGTATCCTAGACGTGAAGATTATGGGGATGAAGAAAGCTCTGGGACATGTAAACAATCAATAAACGACTCGAATTGGTCCCACTTACTTGAAGCTTTTTCATCAATCAATATTAAACAGGAGAAATTGCATCAATTTTATAAATTATTAACTGTTATACTATTATTGAACAGTGTTCATTTCTATTCTTCTGGACCAGTTGTAAATATTGACTTGAATCAGGGCTCTACTGATCCACCCAATTGTCCTCCGCAATCAAGTGACAGTCAACAATCACAGTATTGTGATGATCCTGCCGGTATAGCTGTTCTCACGTCGGATGATATACACAAGAGTAAGTGTATATATATATATATGTCTGCTGAATGACTTACCTCATTTAGACAAAGCAATAAGAAGACGTAATTTGTCTGAATCGTGTTGTAATGTATTAGCGTGTAACACATTTCGAACAATCTGATCGCATAAAGGACTTGTCATATGAATACATCGGCAAAGTTAAACTTTAAGCACCACTAACTACCAATCAGCGAACGACCATCAATGAAGCAATCACATGAAAGAGTGATTTTTGATTATGGGAAACGTATATTTATGAAAAAAGAAAGCATAAAAATTGCATAAAACTGTTACCTAGGGTATCTTTCTCTAACATGTTGCGGAAACATCTCTCAGTTTAGCATAGGAGTGTCAGCAGAAAAGCTGCACCACATTCTCTACATATATTCATCTCAATGACTATAAATGACATCCTTTTGAGATCCATTTATAGCTCTAATGCTATTTCTTAATCTCCCTCAAAATCATTCAAGAGAATTCGTGTGTGTCCCGGTAATTGGATCCACAAAATCACTAAAATAGTTCACTCTGTGATGAATGTATCCAAGGGATGACAGGGAGTTATAACCTTTCCATTCGTCGGTATGCACTATAGAACCGTGTTTCACCAGTCGAGTGACAATAGGTACTAAGGTAGTCAACTTTCTGTCTGCTATTCTCTTCACGAGTCGTTTCTGCAGGGAGGTGTCATATAAACCGATCACCCAGACATTGTTAGGTCGCTCGCGACGACGGTTGTATTTTTTCTCCAGTAAGACAGTTTCATCCATGTATACGATGACGCCTTCTCCTCCTGATAACGAAGTAATTCTCTCCATTTTCCATGACACGATGTCTCTGTAGTGCTGGTACCACTGAACCGTTGACACGAGGTTATTTTCAGTTTCATCAGCTGCATCTCTCACAGGCTGTTTTAAAATCGAGTAATTACAAATATACGAAATCTGGGTTAGGGAGAGATGGGACCAAGCAAAAATGTTCCTACAAAATATTAAAGTCATCGGCTAACCTTCTGTAATACTAACTCGTCTCAAGCAAACTGCACAACGACGGACATATCCGTCAATCGACCTTCTGAAGCTTTCTAAACTCATGACACCACCACATGAACAAATCCCCTACTTCGTAAGCAACCCCAAATCCATGCAATACTGCAAAACCTTATCCTTATCGAACTGCAAGCGTAACTTCGTTAGAGCAAGTATTCGACACGAATACAGGGGAATACAACCTTGAAATCACGTGCTTGAACCTCATTGGACTGTTTGAGGTCATTCTCTGATTGGTGGTTAGTGGTACTTGAAGTTTAACTTGGCCGATCTTCTTCAGGCTTTACTGTAATTTACATCAATCCGTGATCAACTCGTGAAAACAAATCTAATCCTTGCAAACCGACTTTTAAAAATGGATTTATATATAAAAATTTTAACCAATGATGGTGATTTTGTGGATCAAATTATAATAATACTAATGTGGTAAATGTTTTGAACGTCACTAATAACGAACATTATAATGATAATAAAATAATGTTAATAAGGTTTATGCAGGTGGCGATAAGAAGAACGAGGGTGTTAGTAATATGTGTATATGTATATTATTCTTAATGTGAAAGTTGACAAGAATGAAATGTTAATAAAATTTAATGATGTACATCCATCTCTCATCTTCACTTGTGAAGAAGAACATGATAGTAGACTACACTTCCTCGATGTTCAGTTGAACAGAAGAGAGGATGGTTCACTCAAGAGGGATTTCTATAGAAAACCTACATCTGTAGGACAATATACACATTTCCTCAGTTCTGTACCAATCCGATACAAAATCAATTTGATCAGATGCCTCACGAATAGGACAAGATGGATCTGTACAGATAACTTCCCAGAAAATGATATATCCAAAATACACTGGTTCAAATTGGTTATCCTAGTAGATTTGTAAGGAGACACGTGACCACCAGTTATAATATAGAGAAACTGACGATAGTTAAAAAGAAACAACTATTCATGAAATTGCAATTTAATGGGGACGTGGCTAGCGAAGTCTTACATCTGAGATTATCGAGAGCAATAAAACGGACTTATGCTGCCGCCACCCTTTGTTTGTCATTTTCCAGTTGCCGACCAATTATGATTGTTCAAGCGAAGGACAAACTGTCTAGCTTTGCCACTTCTGTGTGTAGAAATTTAGCTGCTCCTGTGGAGAAAGCTGGGGCGAACAGTTAGACAGCTTAACAAACGCATTGATGAGCATCTTCCTTCATGTCTCGGAAAGGCCAAATAAAATCTATAAGAAGTTCTATTTTGACTCGATTGATAGAGGTCATCAAGCAGACCGAAATAGTGCCTTCAAAGTCATCTATCGCATTCTATCGAGCCTTTCGGACGGAATTCGAACCCGCCCGAAGCTATGGGAATTTATTCGAGAGAACATTCCTAGTCTTTGCATACAACAAAAGAAGTTTGTTCTACGTTTGTCTCTCCCTTGCTCGCCTAGGTAAAGTCTAATTAACCCCCCACTCTTTCTTATTTTCCATTCTCTTCGTACTTTTATGATATTTATCTAAACTCTGATTGTCTGTCCATTTCACCTTTAGTATTACGTAATTTTTAAGATTTGATCTAATTTATTTATTGAATTGTCTACATATACACATATTACTACCTTCGTTATTCTTATCGTCACCTGCACAAACCTTGTTATCATTATAATCATCGTTATTAATGACGTTCAAAACATTTGCCGTATTAGTATTATCATTTGATCCACAAAATCACCGTCACTGGCTAAAAATTTTATATATAAATCTATTTTTAAAAGTCAATTTGTATGGATTAGATTTGTTTTTACGAGTTGATCACGGATTGATGTAAATTAGAGTAAAGCCTTAAGAAGATCTCATTGAAAACAAGAATATTGTTCGCTTACATGTCCTGCCCTTAGTAGAGATGAGAAAATAAACTTAGCTCAAGTTAAGAGGACATATAGAAGGTCATAATTTAGTCATTCATGCTGCGTTGGAAAATCTGTATGACCAACTCAGACCTCTTGTCGCAACATCTGATGAAGATCGGGGTTGGTGGATTATAGCTCACCAGTTTTCAAACAACAATCCGAAACAGAGAAAAACATTTTAACTTCCCAGCATTTCAAAGTCTTGAAAGTGCTACTGGAAAACCCTATTTTAACAATTACGAAACCTGATGAAGGTTCTGGAGTCGTCATCATAAACAAAAGTGACTACAAATCCAAAATGTAATTTATTCTTGATGATAAAAGCAAATTTAGCCGTGATCCCTCCTCAGAAGATATTCAGTTGTTGCAAAGCACAGTGACAGCTAATTAATTGGAAATGTGCCACTTCATAGAAGGCATGTAGATGACATTGTAGTCACAAGTGATAAGCCTTGTTATCCCACCTTAATTTTAAATCGAATGAATGAAGTTCAGAATAGCATATCACTTGCGTCTGTAAAAGAGGAAATTATTTGTTTATCTTTCTTAGATGTATTGCTTAGTCGACGGCTTGATGGATCAATAAGACGATCTATTTGTAGAAAACCTACCTGGACAGGACAGTATCTTAATAATCACAGTTTCTGCCCTGTCCGGCACATAAGAGCCGTAGTGAAGCTCCTCTTTTCAGTAGAATCCAACGTATATATACTGAAGACACACTTGATGATGAAAGAGGAAAGTTGACACAAGCTCTGGTTAATAACAGTTATCCAGATAAGTTCATCAGGAGATATAAAGTGGGCAGAAAACCAAGATCCACTCTCTAACTCGCCACTAAGAAAGACGTGTACATTAAGCTACCAGCTGGACAACTGGACAAAGATTGAATGCTGCTGTTAAAAAGACTTTTTATGCAGCTAATATCATAATAATAGGGGATGTGAAGCCGATATATTCATCTAAGCCCTTATGCGAAAAAGGATGTCACATCCCCACTGTATTTACCAATTTGAATGTACGTGTGGACAAACACACATAGGGAGGACTCATCGATCTCTGCAAGTAAGGGCTGGCTTCAAAAGCAAATGGGATCCTCAGGACCCAATAATGGTGAGAACATGTGACCTATCTCCCCTATTGTGAAACATATTGATGTTTGCACGTCTTTTAAACCTATCTATGGGATGAGTTTGGGGCGTATCCTAAAGTTTGTGGAAACCCTAGCAATTGGAAAGTTTAAACCATCTTTATGGGTTCAAAAACAATTCGTCATCACACTAAACCTTCCTTGATAAACTTTATTTTGATACTAGTCAGGGTGGATGTACTATTACATCTATTATTTGGTTTAGTGATGTTTATTGTTTTTTTGACCTTCAATATGTCCTTTTAACTTGACCTAAGTCTATTTTCTCACCTCTTAACTCTCTATTAATTTCATATATATTCATTCCTGTGACAAGTCTGTGTGTGATTAGATTGTTCGAAATGTGTTACACGCAAATGCATTACACGATTCAGACAAATTACGTCTTCTTATTGCTATATCTAAATTCTGGACAACATCTTCAGCACAATATTTAGCATAAAGTGAAATGATTTAAATTTCTTCATGAGTGATATAATTGCGTCTCCTGGTAACCATCTTTACATATGTATGCGTTACTTTTTCGTGTTCACAACTATAATACAGAATAACCCGAATGAATATTGGTCAAAGTGGGTGTCACCGTCAGCTCTGAATAAAAAAAACATAAAAGCAAGCTGTCAGTAGACACGACATGTATTCCTGTTTCATATCCAATTATTGAGACTTATTTAACCTGGAAAAATGTAGAAGTTTCTAAACAAAAGAAACAGCAAATATGCCAGAGAATCCCTAGAAGTCTGGTATTCAGATGAATCAGCAATCAATACAAACACATGAAAACAAAAGGTTAAATTCCGAGTGAATAAAAACAGGTTAACAACCAATCACGACAATTATATCATTCATGGAGAAGGAATTCGAAGAAGCTCACTTCATCATATTAAAGTTTGCATTGAAGATATTTGTCTAGAAGGGAAAGACACTGATAGTGTGGTGAGAGCTGGCTGCAGACCAAAATTGGCAGACAGCAATTTACGTCAATATTTACGTCCCAAATCGGGGTCATGAGAAAAAAAACAATAACAACGCTTAACCTTGAGGAACTCACCAACCAATCACAGCAGACTTAACGTGTGCAAATACGATTCACAGATATATGACTTATCTTTCTGAGAAACGGTCACAAAAGCAATAACAGAATAACCTTGAGCAAGAAAACAACCAATCATAAGACGTTGCTTCTCCGCTGACAGTAATATACATAAAAATCTATGAATATCTCTTGATTCCCTCAATAAACAATCTGTTGCCTGGCCTGGCCTGGCCATTGTCTTCTGTCGTTACAATAGCTTCTCAATTAAATCATTACCCAGCCTTGAGAACACAGCTACATCAATCTCCTTCCTTGTTTTAACTGGAACACGTATGCAAAGATACTTAGGAATAATTCCATTTTTCAAGCATCGAATGTTAAAAATACGGTGATTTGTGAATCTTGATTCTGTTTGTGATAATCGTGTGAGTTTATTGACTAGTCGTCGAACAGGAGCACCATAAGTATCATTAATGTAAGTGAAAAATATATGCAGTGTGGTAGAATGTTATTCCATGTTAGATAAGTTTATTTTAATAATCAATTGATATGATTATGAGTGGCAATAATTTATTTATGCGAATATGACCATGGATTGATATCAGTTAGAGAACCATTGATAACCAGCAGCGAGTACTGGACAGCTGTTTTGTCAGCCTAGTTTGGGAATCATCGGCAGTACGCACTCACCGCCAGGGTTCGAACCCACGACCTTCCGGTTACAAGGTAAGCTAGCTCGTATACCATTCAGCCACTGGGACCCGATTCAATGATCAACCCATGAATTCTAACTTCTACGAATTTGTGATTTAGCGCGACCACCAACCAATGTCATCGTTGCGAAAACCATCCTCACACTTGACTGGTTGAACCTCAGTGGTCATGACTTCCTACTAGAACTCCAGGAAACTCCGTCATGTAGGAAGTCACTAGGGAGCATCAGATTAATTTTCTATAGTTGGTTTGTAAGGATTAGATTTGTTTATACGAGTTTGACGACGGATTGATATCAGTTAGATAACCGTTTAAAACCAACCAGGGAGTACTTGATAGCCAGCTGTTTCATCCTAGTGTGGGTTACATCAGCAGTACGCACCCACAGGGGTTATGGTCGAAACGTTATCCAGTTGTTAATAACACATCACTGTGTGATTATTAAAATAAATTTATCTAATATGAAACTAAAATTTTACCACAGTGCCCAAGTTTTACACTTACAACAATCTCCTATTGATTTGTTAGTTAGGATTTAGTTTCTAGTTTTGATTTTGGTCGGATTCGACTCTTGGGTTTATTGTTTTGGTGCGATTTTGCCCTCGTTTTTTCCCCCATGATTGTTCGTTAAGCTTACTTTTCATTCCCACCCAACCCCCTACACTTTTATTTTCACAGTTAAAATAGCCGGTAAACTACTTGGTATACCGGATGGTGATGCATTGGATCATTTTCCTCAGCAATTTTTAACACGTCTTGTTCAAGCTGGTTCTACATCGTCATCATCATCATCATCACAACGATCTAGGCGAATGACAACGTATAAATGTGCTTGTACAGTGACACAAGCACGTGAACAGCATAACTGTTTTATTAAATCTTTATACAGCAGGTTAGTTCTATTGATTGATTGATCGATTGGTTATTTATTGAAACTTTTGAGTTTCATGGTTTTGGATTACTTTTACTTAACGGAAAGATTGTGTCTGTGCTTGCCATTATTATTATTATTGTTTCCTTTTGTTCCTAGAGGAACATAGGGCTTCAGCCGAACGTGTCTCCATTGCGTTCGGTTCGCTGCCAACTTTTTCACCTGGCTACACGTCTCCCCACATGCTTTCATCTCCTCTTCACATCACCTCCTCCTCCATGTCACCCTTGGACGACCAACTCGCCACTTCCCGTTCGGGTTCCACTCAAGCGATGGTCTGTTGTGTGATGTAACTTGATGGTTTGTTTTCTCATAGTATGGCCAGCCAATCCACCTCCATTTCTTCCTGCATATTTGTTGCACAATCGGTTCCTTCTGGGAAGGTCCATTCATTGCCAGAGATCCCACTCTATTGATGATTTTCTCTGGCCATCTGATATTGAGTATTGAGCGAAGACAGCTGTTGATGCAGGTCCGTAGTTTGTTCGAAGTGCCTTTCCCCATGCGGCGCCAAGTCTCTGATCTGCATAGTAGCACTGACTCCACATTGGAGTTGGAAATCCGGATCTAATTTTTCATTCTGAGTGCTGTTGACCCCCACACAGACTTGAGAGAAATGAAACCTTGCCTTTCTTTCCCTATCCTCGCTTTGATGCTATCCTTATCAGTTCCGCCGGCCTGTAGTTGAAACGATGCTTTCTAGGTAGGTAGGAAGGTGAAGGAGGTTGCTTCTTTCAGATTTCTTCCATTTATGCTGATTGTTGTCTGTTGTTGTTGCTGTTGACCAGGAATCTTCATCACCTCTGTCTTCTCTGTGTTTATCTGAAGGAAGTCTTATCTTTGATGCTTCTTCTGCCAACTTGTTGCTTTTCACTTGCATATCTTCCAGTTTTTGGGAAATCAGACAAATATCATTGGCGAAGTTCAGATGCTGCAAGTTTTTTGTGTGGGTCCATTTTATGCCTGTCTCCTCGCTGCCCACCGCTGTCTCTCGCATTATCCAGTCTACCGCAATCAGGGAAATCATTGGAGGTAGTAGGCCGCCTTGCCATATTGGCTCTTAATAGTGTCAATAACGTTTTCTTAGGTTATTGCTTTACAATCCTTTTGAGGGGCACAATCATTTAGTGATATGGAAGTACATCCATCCGATGAGTTCAAGAGTGGATTCTGCTGCTTACCATTATATGTCAACTAGTTGCCGCCTAGTTCTGCCTATCTCATGTAATTAATTTTTTCGTCAAGCATGTTAAAGTTGTTTACTTATAAGTTTTTACCCTCCTCTGTTGCACTCGGCATAAGAAACAAAATTTGGATTTCAAACACACTAATGGCAAGTCACAATCTGTACTTTTATATATGGTTCGGAGACTTGGCATCAGCGTCACGAAAAGCATTACCACCAACATTTTTCTGCAGATTTACTGCATTCTCTCGATACTGAAGATGAGATAGCTGACCAGAAAGAATACGTTACAAGGAACTCTGGCAAAGAGCGGATCAACCAAGAAATTCGTCGTCTAATACACATGCAGAAAGTTTTTTTTATTCCTTTACATTCCCAGTGGAACATAGAAGGGCTTCAAGCTAGAGACTTGAAGTTTCTGTAGCAATGGTGATTATTTTTACAGCATGGGGTTGCTAGCCTCATGAACAGCCCAACCTTCCCTCTTTACTAGTCTTATTACTGGCTTAGGGAGGTAAAGGAGTGCGTCAGCCTACCGAAGAGCGAACCCCTGACCACATGAGGCGAGGTTGGCTAGCACTCTACCGCTGTGCCACCGACGCACGAAGGTAGACGCAGAAGGTAGTGGAGATGGATTGGACACACACTGAGGAGACCGTTGAGTGACATCACTCATCTGGTGGATCATCGAGTAGAAGTAGGAGGTGAAGCGACAAGTTCTTGCTGGATGGGAGGCTGACATGTGGGATATTTTTGGATTGAACACTAGCCAGTAACTAGTGTCGTGCATCGAGTCCTTTGTTTGATGCAGATTGAATTCTATCAGTCAAGTTTGCAATTTGGGGCCACTATGCTAGCTATATAGCTCGGCGTCACGGTACACTGTGAACTGTTGTTATTAGACGATAGTTGGAGGCAGTCGTCAGAAAGCAACGAGGCTGTGAAGCTACATCGACTTAGATGGTTAGAACATGTGTTACTTATGCCTAGGAATCGCCTTCCTCGACAATGGTCAATGTTAGCTGACATAGGGTCGGCGGCTAGCGGCGGTCAAACCAAAACATAGCACCGGTCAATGAAATCCACAATAGGTGATATGGCTCAAAATCCTTGTTGTCAATGGCTAGTGCAGATGCATCCACTCCTTGTGACTTATAATTTTCAATGAAACTTTATTCTTCCTCAATATTACTATTCCTTTTGTCTCATATCTCTGTTTACTGTCTCTATTATGCATTTCTTCTACTTTCTTCTCTTGCTTTGTGTGCTACATGAAGTGTGGCGACTTGAACTGCTGCACATTGATGCAAAGTTCTATGTTGGAAACAGATAGACAGACAGCCTTGAACCTAGGTTTCGTGCTTGTTGGCGCTGTTTAGTCGGCAAGGCATGTGTGCAATCTTGAAAGAAATCATGTCCCTCCTGAGATTCGAACCCCCTGCCATCCAGTGAATGATGCAGTCGGAGAGGTTATCACTGAGGAGGAGCTATTCAGGCTCGCGATTAACCTCCTATAAGACTCGATTTGATTCTTCAATTGTAGACTAGGTAGGTCGTAAGTGGCTAGTATCATTCGTCTAGTCTTTTGTATGGTGCAGAATGAATTCTTTCAGTCAAATTTTCAATGTCGTCATGAGAAATGGAAATGTGCTGGTGAAGCCCCTAAATGATGGCAAAGATCTTTAGGCAATGCATTCATCCTTCGCGACCTCTTAGAGCCGTTGAATCTCCGCGTTTTTCTATGTTTCTATTCTTTTTCCTTCCCATTTCTGCTTATTACGGTTCTTTTGAATCTCTTTTCTCTTTTGTCTACCTTTTTGTGGTAAATAGAGGGAGAGTGGCAACTTGAAGTGCTGCACTTTTGTCCAAAGTTCTACATTGAAACAAAGTCAGTCATCAACAAACCTCACACAAATATAGTTCCTAGTTTGACACATGTGGCGTCCGGAACGCTCTTGTTGGCCCTTGAAAATCCGTGTCAAGTAGTATAATTTTCGTGACAGACAGTACCCATATCCTCAGCAGGTCGTGAAGGTGAACAGCCTCTGTCAATTGAACAATGTAGGTATGGACAGTCGGCAAATCAGACCGAGATCAGATACGCGTCGGTCCGGTTTCAGGCTGGTTTCTTTGCTTCATTGTGTGCTTCGGTGCACATTATTGCGGAGTTACTGGACTCTGACCGTGATTGATCGTGGACGGTTTCAGCTGTTGGTATTGTATAGCTGGCAACGTGCGTAGACTTGCTGTGCGTTGCGTAAAGCGGCTGTGCTTCCATTTTTTGGCGCGTGACGGTTAACTCAGAACTGGCACGGAACAGGGATACGACTTTCCAATTATTATCTAAGCATTGTAGCAGGATTCTTTTTCTAACTAGGCTGGGGTGAGTATGCTACGTGGCACCAGATAACTGCTATGATTCATATCGCGACTACTGTCGGAATTCGGTTTGTTGAAGTGTAGTGTTTTAATTTGACCAATGAGTGCGTGCTAACTATTTAGAAGATGACCCGGGAAACCAGTAGGTGACTATGGCTGACCTTTGAAAGCAGGAAAGGCACAAAGTGTAAATGACCAAGTGCCTCGTCATCTAATTAGTGACGCGCATGAATGGATTAACGAGATTCCCACTATCCCTATCTACTATCTAGCGAAACCACAGCCAAGGCAACGGGCTTGACCTAATTAGCGGGGAAAGAAGACCCTTTTGAGCTTGACTCTAGTCCGACTTTTTGAGGAAACATGACAGATATAGAGCAGGTGGGAGATAGGTGGTGCTTCGGCGCCTGGCGTCAATGAAATACCATTGCTGTCATTGTTTCTTTACTTATTCAGTGAAACGGGAACAAAGTGGTATTTTGGTGTGAGGCACATGGTGGCATACGTAGTCTAACGCTGCGTGTGTCTGTGTGTCATGGTGATATCACATAAATCGTGGTGTTGATTGCGGTGCCTGAGTCTTGGTGTGATTTGCAACCCGTTTTGAAGATCATGTCAGGCGGAGAGTTTGGCTGGGGCGGTACATCTGTCAAATTTGTAACGCAGATGTCCTACGCCTAATGATTAAAAGTTATGTTATTTTATTCAAAACAAGTGTGAATTCTCCAGCACCATCCATTTGTTACATTTACTTAAAAATGAATGTAAGACTGCGCTTGACTATTATTAGGAGAATAAGTCTTGCTTGGTCGCTCGCTCGCTCGCTATAAAACACAAAATACTTTATAAATCAAATTCACAATTTACAAACTAATTAGCTACTTGTGACGAACACAGTTGGAACTCTGAAATTCCACCACAGTTTCCTTTAGAAGCCTAATTATTCAGATAGCGTACAAATATACAGTCTGCTTGATACCATAAATTGCAAATTGTGAATTCAACCTTGTGTTATAACCCCAGTAGTTCGCCCAAGTAACATAGTAGCGAGAAATCAGGTGGTTTAAACACTCATCCGGCTGCCTCTCTGAGCTGAGTGAAATTGAGTACACCGGTGACTGATGAACTCGACCTCAAATGAGCGAAACAGCCCTCCAGTGTTAAGATAACCTGGATCTGGCTAGCTGGTTAGCAAGTACTACTACTGATTGGTACTATTACTTATTTCAGTCAGTCAGTAGTAAATAGTTTTGCACAAAATATTTCATTTCAATATAATACCTTATCAATACCTTTCTTATAAAATAATTTCTTTTAGTTTGTTTCATTTTATGGTCGATTCAATTAATAAACAGTTGAATTCTGAAGATCCCGATGGTCCACTTAATGAATTGGGTATGTGCTTTTGGTTGTGTTTTTTTTTATTAAAAAAATCATTATTTCTGTTATTTTCATTTAACTATTATGATACGTCAAATACTATTGATTAATTCATTAAACATAGACGAATTATTGCTGATATTCAATAAAATCCACCCTTCGCCTACTTTTACTTGTGAAGAGGAGCACGAGAATAAACTACATTTTCTGGATGTCTTGCCAAGTAGCCGAGAAGATAGGTCACTTGGGAGAAGCGTGTATAGAAAAAGCACATTCACGGGGCAATACACACACTTCCTTAGTTCCGTGATCGTTAGATATAAAAGAAGTGTTGTCAAGTGTCTCACAAGCAGAGCAAGAAAGATATATACGGATGACCACCTACAAAAGGAATTTGAATATATTCATGATTCCTTGACGGTGATGGGCTATCCGAGTAGTAGTTTCATAAAGAAACATATGGAAACATCAGAGAGAAAACCTGAGACTCTGACTGCACGTAAAAAACCTCTACTTATTAAGTTAAAATTTAATGGTGACTTATCAAGTGAGATTTTATTCCAGAGACTTTCCAGGAGTATATACGAAAAACGTTTTACGCAGCAAACCTATGTTTGTCATTCTCTACCCGACGAATGATTGGGACGCTAACGAAGGATAAGCTAGATAGTTTTGCCACATGTATGTGGATTTATCAATTCAACTGCACCTGCGGTGACAGTTATATTGGGCGTACTACTAGACAGCTTAGCCAACGTGTTAGTGAACATCTCCCATCGTGGTTTGGCAAAGGACAGACAAAAACAGTTCGTGGCTCAATTTTGTCACATTTAATTGATAGTAGTCATGTAGCGGAGAAAACGAGAGTTTTCAAGTTGATTCGTCGTATCCCACGGAATCTTTCCAATAGACTTCGTACTCGTCTACTGCACACAGCTGAGGCGATAGGCGTTCGAACTATTAAACCTAAACTATGCATTCAAAAGAAGTTCGTACACAGCCATTATCCCTCCTTCGGCCTGTTGTAAGGCCTAACCAACTGATAACTTCTCCACCACCCCTTACTTATATTTACAACCTCTCTCTTATCATCGCTTAATCTTATCACATCTTCATTAAAAACATGTTTTATTTACTTCCCTTACAATCTAGCATTACCTAGTCGGTTTATTTGTTTTTCTTAGCCTCTATCGACTACTTTCACCCGAACAGTTGTTTGTTTAATCATACTGTTTTTCATTATTCGTGTTATCACAGATTGCCTCACTTTTTCATCCTTATTATTGATAAAACCATTATTATTATCGTTATTATTATTATTATCATTACTACTATTATGACTAATTGCACAATTTAATTCATATAAATCAATTCAACTCAGTTACCTGAAACAGGTTTTTCCATATACACCAGGCTATAAGAGCCACACTTATATCGCGTGTGTGTGTGTGTGGGGGGCGGCAATATTGTAAAGAAGACAAGACTGTGGAGGCTGAAAGGAATGTTTATTTGGTGAAACGTATGGTACATAGCTAAATTTGGTATACCGTATTCTCAACCGGCCATTTGCACATCATTCACCACATCCTTGACGAATTGGTCGAATATCATCTCATTCGATAGCTTCTTGGATTCTGCATCATATGGCAACATTCTTCTCATGGTTCTCTTCTTTGATTGCTCTTTCCAGTGTGCCAAACATATTGTTACTTTGTTTCTAATATACTACTTATATCGGATTATAAGTAGCACTCACCACAATATTACCTACCTATCAGCTGGAAACCGAGTCGAGTCCCTAAGCCCAATGAACTACATTTCCACGATTGATAATATGAGTAGTCGGAAATCACATCCCCACATTAATTAGTGTGTAGTGATTAACTAACCCAGTCGAAGTGACTCTGTCTATGCACTAGTATTGATTGGTTGATGATAGTGGTTACCAACTACTTATATCAACGAATTAATTAGTAGTATATGCCACCAGGCTAATTAATTAAGGTGAAAAAAAACATAACTAGAATATTCTTGAGAGAAAGTGTTTAAAACAGTGTATTTTCAACAGGACACTTTAAAAGTCTCAGTTTCCCCCGCTAAGGGAGGGAGGATCTAGGGCATAGAGTTGCAGGTTATGCTGCTAGATTTTGTCACCGGCGAGCACTGGACAGCTGTTTCGTCCTAGTCTGCATACTCATGACCCCAACAGCGATAGAATGGAGGACTTTCAGGTTACGAGACGAAGCTCATTGACTATCCAACCACTTGGGTCGAAATCCAGTGACCTCGTGAATTCTAACTTTGTCAACTCGACATATCTCGCTACCCTCTCATTAATGCCTTCGATGAACACCCACTTCACTTTATATTGATAGGGTGGACCTCACTCATCATAACTTCTCATTAATACAACTTCACGACTATCGTCCAGTAGCCATCAACGAGCTCCAGATTGATTATAGGATTTATAGGTTATTGAAATACCGCCCAAATGGTGGCTGAATGGTTAACAAAGTTGTAATGTCGTAATGTTAAAGTCGTGAGTTAGATCAATACGTTAGGATTGTGGGTATGCACTATCAAAGAGTCCCAGAATAGGAGAAAACAATTGTCCAGTGCTCATCGCCTTTCAAGGATTCTCTAAATGATGTTAGTTAGTGACGAAATCTAACAAATGAAACGTAACGCACTCAGAGGTCTGTGTCCTGGATCGTAAAAGACAGCGGGGAAGTGAGACTTCTAAAGTAGCAGTAGTGGTCAGACGAAAACATATGACTTCATCAGTCAAAGAAATCCAAAACAGTTAGTTTAAGCCAGCCAGTCACGTGGGGAGGTGTAGACTAGCTGGCTGGCTGACTGGCTGATTGGTGTTGTCGGTATGGTAAGAAGCAATGAAGGCTGGAGACAATTATCGGTGATATGCCTCAAAATCCCTGTTGTCAATAGCTGGCGCAGATGCATTCACTCACTGAGATTTGTCCTGCTCAATATAACTCTATTGTTTTTCCACCATATTACGATTCTTTTTGCCGTATATTTCTGTTTATTATCTCTTTCGTTTGAATATCTGTGTCGGTCGGTCGGTTTTCGACATAGAACTTTGCACATATGTGCGACAGTTCAAGTCGCCAAACTCCCTCCATGTAGCACACAAATCCAGAGAAGAAAGTAGAAGAAATGCATAATATAGACAGTAAACAGAGTTGTGAGACAAAGGAATAGTAATAACGGAGAACAAAACAGTTTAATTGGAAATCATAAGTCACAAGGAGTGGATGCATCTGCGCCACTGAGAACGATTTTGAGCCATGTCACCAATTGTTTCCAACCATTGGTTTTTACCGTCCCGAGGACCCCAACCAGGAAGTCTACATCTTCCTACGTGGCTTAGACTATCTGTGTACTACCTTCTCTTGCTTTGTGTACTACATCAAGAGAAAGTGGCAACTGGAACTGCTGCTCATCTGTGCAAAGTTCTACGTTGGAATCAGTCAGTCAGTCAGTCAATCCGTCACTATCGGCTTGTAAACTCGGGGAAGTGTATTGACCGGGGAATTGAACCGTAATCAGGTGTGCATGATTTTCAAGCATTCTACCATTGACGTACCGATGCACAAGGGTTCAGTCAGCATTTTTCTTTTTGTGTCGTCAAAAGTTGATTAGCAAAAGTTCTTCTCTTACAAATACAAACACGGTTTGTGCTTATAAATAGCATAGATTAACAAAGTTTTTGTGAAGATTTGTAGTTGTTAATTTTTTTTAATTTGAGCAATTTAAGCTGATTAGTATTGACATAGAATGAGTTCTATCTATATGCGTTGAGCGGATTTGCCTGTCTACCAATGAATTAGAATTCCCCCTTTTTTCAACATCATTGGACCGTCGTGGAGATGTTGCATTTGACAAACAAGTGATGGGCTTGTATTATTATTATTGTTCCCTTGGGTTCCTAGTGGAACATAGGGCTTCAACTGCAGGCTTCCACTTGCTTCTGTCTTCTACCGTACTTTTCACCTGCATCCATGTTAGTCCATACTGATTCAACTCTTCTTCACACGATCTCCTCCATGTCACCCTTGCACTGACGTCCCACTCGCCGCTTCCCTTTCGGGTTCCACTCGAGGGCCTGACGCGCGATGTCACCCAACAGCCTGCTCAGCGAGTGTCCAATCCATCTCCACTTTCTCCTGCATATTTGTTGAGCGATTGGTTCCTGTTTTGTTTGTTCCCATAGTTTCTTGTTGGTGATTCTTTCCGGCCATCTGATCTCGAGTATAGAACGAAGACAGTTAGTTGTTGATAAAGGTGTGCAACAGGCTGTTGGAAATATTCTTTGTGACCCGCCAAGTTTCTGATCCATCCGTATAGAAGAACTGACTGACTTGACTTTTGTATTGAAAATCCGAATTTTGTTGTTGATGCTGAGTGACGAAGATTTCCAGATTGGTTTCAGGTTGATGAATGTGTTTCTCGCCTTTCCGATTCTCGATTGACATCCTCGTCCGTTCCTCCTGTAGTTGAGACAATGCTCCCTAGATAAGTGAATGAAGTAACCTCTTTCAAATCCCTCCCGTTGATGGTGATTGGCGCTGGATGTTGCTGCTGCTGCTGGGCTTGTAAACGAACCAAAAAGTATTACGTGATAGTTCATGTTTATATTGTTTGTTGAGCTGTATATGAGCTTCTTAAGTGGATACCTTAATACTACAAGAATTTCGTCTTATTTGAGATTCATCAGTTGAATGTACTTTCTTCCCAATGAGTAACTGTGTTTCTAAAGAGACTCGAACCAAACATTCATCATCTCTTCAAGCAACAAAGTGTTATACAACTAGACTGCTGAGTATAGTCTCAGTGGAAATGCAACCGCTCATTCGACTGACTGACTGGTTTCAACATAGAACTTTGTACAGATGTGCAGCACTTCGAGTTGCCACACTCCCTCCAAGTAACACACAGAAGAAGAGGAGAGAGAAAAGAAAGATTCAAAAGTGAGACAATAAACCGAAGTAAAGGAGAAAGAAGAGTAATACCAAAGAACAAAAGTTTTTTTATTGGATATGACAAATCACAGAGAGTGAATGCATCTGCGCCAGCCATTGACAACAAGGATTTTGAACCATATCACCAATTTTCTCCAGCCTTCATTGCTTCTTATCATCCCGACAACACCAATCAGCCAGCCAGCCAGCCAGCTAACCTACACCTCTCTACGTGGCTGGCTTAAAATAACTGTTGTGGATTTCACTATTTTGGTTTGACTACCACTGACTCTCTTCCAGCCTGATCTATCCTATGTCAGCTAACATTGCCCGTCGTCCAGGAAGGCGATGGATGACTAGGCGTGCATGCGTAACACATGTCCTAATCATCCCAAACGATACAGCTGCTTCACAACCTCGTCTATTGATTCTTCCTCCCTCCTTACCCAGCACTCGACGCCTAACCTCAATATTGCTGATTTTATTATACCACTTAACACTGGAGATAGAATGCAGACACCTACGATCAAAGACAGTTAGCCTGTCTTTTCATGTCTTACACTTTCAATGGCCATGTCTCGCTTACAGCCGTGAGGGAGGACATATGAAACTACTGAGTTAGTACTCACACTGGTGGTTACTGATACAACTTCCTAAATAAGTGAAGTAAGTGGTGAACACGCTCAACCGTACTTCAATCTCTTCATCTCTTCAGGCTAGGGGTGAGTCGATGTGGTCCAGCCCACTTCTGTGGCATCATTTTACATTTGACAGAGGGAACGAATCTCATGCCAAACATTTGGAGATTGCTGTTCAAGGTGTTCAAAGGACACTCATTGGGATGCAAATACATCCAACTGATGAATGCCACATGAAACGAAACACGCATCTTGGTTTCTGCTGATAGCCACTACCAAAATATGTACTTCTAAGTACTTGCTAATTACTTGAGTTTCTACTTTTCAGTTAATCTAAGTGAGAAATTATTATTATTATTATGATGATGATTGTTATTGTTTTATTTTCATTCACTGTAGGTATTCTTGATCTCTTCGGTTTCGAGTGTTTAACTGTGAATAGTTTTGAACAATATTGTATAAATTATGCTAATGAACGGTTGCATCAAACATTTATGCGATTAGCTGTTACAACTGCTTATGAAGAATTAGATGCGGAAGGATTATCTGATTTTCCTCCGCCGCCGCCGCTGCCGCCTCCTCCTTTTATGCCTTCTTCCCATTCTTTGTCTTCATCAACTCCATCTCGTCGTGTTGTCCATGAAAATACTTTGGAGCATAAACATCGATTGGATTCTTCATTGGCATTATGTGAGAGTAATATACTTACTCTAAAGGATATAGAAATGAATGCAAATTTATTAGAAGAGGTAAGTGTGTATACAATACAATATTTGTCTTCAAATGTTGGTTTGTAGGGATTTGATTGGTTACAGGATTTTCATCATGAGCTGACATTAGTTAGAGAACCATTGGAAAACCAATCAAATCCCTACAAACCAACACTTGAATATCAATGAGATGCTCACTAGTGACTTTCCCTATTCAGGTAGGTAGTTACCTGGGGTTCTAGTGAGAAGTCGTGACCAGTAGGATGCAGCAGGTCGGGCGTGAGGACAAATACTCACCGAAGACATTGGCTAGGGGTCGCGCTATGTCGTGAATTGGTAGAAGTTAGAATTCATGGACCATTGGATCGGGTCCCAGTGGCTTAATGGTCTACGAGCTCGCCTTATAACCAGAAGGTCCTGGGTTCGAACCCCGCAGTGTGGGTGCGTACTGATGAAGAGTCCCAAACTAGGACAAAACAGTTGTCCAGTACTCCCAGGTTTTCCAATGGTTCTCTAACTAATGTCAGCTCACAATATTTGTCTGTTTGTCTGTTTAAGTTTAAAATGCACATCGTGGTTGGCGTTCAATCTTAGAGGGGGGAGGGATATTATTTTCTTCCTTGTGGAAATCACCTAGTTAACTTGCCTATCCTAAGATTGGAAGGGATGCAAGTTTGGGTTTTTGAGGCTAGTCACCTCACCTTATGAAATAAACATAGTCTCCGATGAAGTCGAGGAGATTTCTTCAATTTCAGGACGGGTGACACCAGGAGGTGAAAGCTTTCGGAAAGTCAGTCGATCGATGTGTCTTCGTCTGCTTGAAAGCAGAAGTAAGCTTAGGGGGGGGCAAGAGTTGTCCACACTATGTTTCAGCCTGCTAAAGCTGCTCATATTACAGATAAAATGAGATATGGCATAGAAGTGTTTAGTATCTGTGAGGGCAGATAGAATGGACGTAGACTCTCTGAATTATCAATTAAGGGGAGCTAATAATCAGCATCTGTAATCTAGATGACAGTCATGAGTACACTGAGGGTGTGGTTACAAATATCTTCGAAGGGGACTCATGCAGTGCGGAACGATCTTCTGCAAGATCATACTCGTAAGGAGAGGAACGCAAGAAATAAATAATAGTGAGAAATCGTGACCAGTGAGGTCCATCCAGATGTCACGTGTGAGGATGGATGTCCCACCGACAACATTGGTTGGGGTCGCGCTAAATCACGATTTGGTAGAAGTAAAAATTCATGAGCCATTGAATCGGGTCCCAGTGTCTGAATGGTGTACGAGCTAGCTTGCCTTGTAACCGGAAGGTCCTGGGTTCGAACCTTGGTGGTAGGTGCGTACTGCTATTGATTCCCAAACTAGGCTGATGAAACAGCTGTCCAGTACTGCAGTGCTGGTTTTCAATGGTTGTTCTCTAACTGATATCAATCCGTGATCAACTCGTAAATACAAAACCAATCCTTACAAACCAACTATAGAAAATGATAATAATGTTGAAATCATGAACCTGAATAGCTCAGTGGTAATGTCCTCGACAGCACTACTAGGTGACGCGAGTTGTAATCACAGAGGGGACATCAATTCCTTCTTAGAAACAATGCTTCCTGTTGATTACTTCTAAACATCCGAAGTCAACTGATTCAAAGTACACCACAATGGCGAGTCACTTAGCTTGGTGACTATACCATAAATTTGATCTTTTATAGTTTCAGACATAATTAGATTCAAGAAAGTTCTGGTAACTAAATGGCGTCATTAATGTAACTAATTATATTAATGGGATATATAAACGATGTTACAAACACAGACTCCTTCTTACTATATACTACTGACTAATTGAGATGAGTGGTAGTTATTTCCCACTCACATTAACCAAGTAGGGCTTGTTAGCTAACCAGATCGAGGTGATCTATACACCAGACGTCTGTCTCTCTCGTTCAGGGCCAAGGTTCATCATCAGCAGTGTACTCAACTTGACTCAAACTACCTGATTTCTGACTGACTAGTTAGCTACTCGAGCGAATTGACAACACATTAAATCAAATTCGCAGTTTGCAAATTCACGTAGAAACTCCATCACTGACTGATTAACTGACTGGTTCCAACGTAGAACTTTGCACAGATGAGCAGCAGTTAGAGTCGCCAATCTTCCTCCCTGTAACACACAAAGCAACGCATCTCCACCAACCATTAACAAAAAGGACTTCGAGCCATATCACTAACACTTTTCTCTAGCCGCCATTGGTTCTTACCGTCCCGAGGACCCCAATCAGTCAGACAGTCAGTCCACACATCCCTCCCTGCGTGACTGTCAGGCTGGCTTAAACTGACTGCTGTGGATTTCATTGACTGATGAAGTCATGTTTTGGTTTGACCACTACTAGCTATTTCTTTTCCAACCTCTTCGATGCTATGTCACCTAACAACGCCCGTGAAATTTCATCAAATTACCTTACAGTGGGGGAAATAAACAGCAGGAATTTAAGACAGAGACGAAATTCAATCAGCCTGGTGTGGTTGTGTTCTCTCAGCTGGATGGTTTGGTTGCGAAGCTTTCATTGCTCTACTGAGCAACATCTTCAGCGCATACTTCGATGTGAAGTGAGCTTTTAGAATTCTCCTGAGCTACAAATCTTCTCTATTATATCTCAATCAGCCTGGCTTGTGCTTATCGAATAAGTCAAATGTAATATATGTTTATGATTTTTAGCTTTTTCAATAAGTAAATATGTGATGAGATCGCTCGGAATGTATTGTGCAAATGCATTACATTTTTCAGATAATCTCTGTCTTCTAATAATGCTATCCAGATTTATTAAAGGTACTAATTACTTAAGTCAATTTTGATCTCGCCATTGGTTGATTGCACCGAAATGTTCTAACTCTGTTGATATGTCGGCTCCTAAAACGGCCCTTCCGATTATGTCTAAGGATTAACTTGAAGTAATTTGGTGGATGGTGACTGGTGGTGGAATCCAGGATGAGCATTTCCTCCCGTTTGGGACGACTCAGCTAAGTGGGTGTACTTGAATTCCCCACTGACTGTGATGGTGTTCTCAGTAGTCTTCATTTCAAACGCCCAAACCACTTGAGTCAGGAGAGCGTTTGAAACGAAGGGTACTGGGTTCGAATTTCACTGGAAACGCCATCACACAATCACTGAGGATTAAAAGTACACCCACTAGTTGAGGAGTCCCAAATAAGATGAAATGCACGTCCTTGATTCCACTGCCAGTCACAACCGACCAAAATTAAAGGAACTAATTGTCTTAAATATTTGAAAAGAAGGCTCGCATCATACACTAATATGGTAATGATAACAAATGTTTTATTTTATAATCATAAGAACCTGTGGATAATTTATTGAAAATAGTATTCTTTGTTCATATCATTCGCCTGGAGAGTCATTGAAAACCAATTAGCTAAATTACCTAAATTCAAAGTCGTGGGTATTGGGATCCAGCATTTCATGTGTGAGGACAAACGCTCACTGATGCCATTTGTTGGCTGTAACTGCGCTTGGCGAAATGACGGGTAGTTTAGTCCCACGTTCTGCCCTCGTAGCCTAAACATCCTAGGCTTTATCCCTTATGGAGTCGTGGGTGTGCATTACTGAAGAGTCTTAGATTAAGATGAAACACACGTCCTGCAATTCCCAGTATTCAATAATTCTCTAACTGATATGCCGGTTCGTGAACATAATCTACATTGAAATTAATCCTAATTCCTATGAAACATAGAAATTTTTATAAAATGTTTCTTTTTTGTTTTTTTTGAAATTCCTTCTTTAGGTTTGTCTTCTAAATCGTGTTCATACTGTCAATCCGTTAAAGTTATCATCCTCTTCAAATCCCCCACTGAGTCATTTAGATCCACGTGAAATTGATTGGATCAGTAAAATACAATCAGTGTTTAATACACCGAATTGTTCAATTCATTTATATGACAGTGAGTTGATTCAATTTTGTACATTAAAAATATTCATGAATATTTCGAGATGGGTGATGATTGAAGATGAAATGAAAATTAAAGTCTTGGTAGAATTTGAACTAACAATTTCTGAATTTCTATTTCACTTGGGCTGTTAAGTTACATCGATTAAGATGGTTAGGACATGTGTTACGCATGCTTAACCATCCATCTCCTTCCTCGACAATGGACAATGTTTGCTGACATAAGATGGATCAGGTTGGAAAAGAGCCAGTGGTGGTCAAACCAAAATCAATGGTGCTTCATCAGTCAATGAAATCCACAACAGTTAGTTTAAGCCACGTGGGGAGATGTAGACTGCCTGACTGGTTGGGGTCCTCGAGACGGTAAAAACCAATGAAGACTGGAGACAATTGGTGATCTGGCTCGAAGTCCTTGTTGCCAATGTCTAGCACAGATGCATCCATTCCTTTTGACTTTACCCAATAAAAGTGTATTGTTCTTCGTTATTACTATTCTTTTTGCCACATATCTCTGTTTTGCATTTCTTTCCGCTTTCTTCTCTTGCTTTGTGTGCTACATGAAGGGAGTGTGGCGACTTGAACTGCTGCCCATCAGTGCAAAGTTCTGTGTTAAAGCTCAGTTAGGACATAATGCGTTTATCTCTTCTCTTGCATTTTAGATAAACATATTCGGTCACCGTGCATTAGTGTTAAGAAAACACCACAATGGGCACTATCATTATCGTCATCTCCTCATCTGATGATTAGGTGAAATCCAACGTCCATTTCATCACTCTCTCATTCTTCAATGCTTAAAAGTTGTCCCAATTCTGATTGTGATCATTTATCTGTAAAACATTATTACCAGTATTGTTCCCTTGTGTTCCGAGTGGTAAATAGGGCTTCAACGGTATGTCTTCACTTTTTCCTATTCTCTACAGCCTTCTTAAGCTAGCCGCACGATCACCGTAGTCTCTCATCTTCTCATACGATCTCCTCTATGTCATCCATGGACATCCCACTCGTCGTTTCCCATTTGGGTTCCACTCGAGCGATGGCCTGCGTTGAGCGCCATGTCATTCGATGGTCTCCTCAACATGTGTCCAATCCATCTCCATTTTCTTCTGCATATTTGTTGAGTAATAGGTTCATGGTTGGTATGTTCCCATGGTTTCTGTTTGCTAATTCTTTCTGGCCACCCATTTGATCTTCAATATGGCATCAGCGAAGGCAGCAGTTGATAAAAGTCTGCAGCTAGCTGTTGAAAATGCTTTCCGTGGCTCTGGTGCCATGTTTCTGACATGCATAGAAGAACTGACTGACTCACTTCACATTTCTGTTGAAAATTCGAATCTTATCCTTTATACAGAGGCAGAGTGCAGAGGATTTCCTAACTGGTTTCAGTGATGAAGGTGTACCGATTCTGGCTTTGACATCCCCATCCGTGCCGTCGCCTCTAGTTGATATCAGTTGGAGTGTGGTTAGAGCTGTCTGCAAGCCAGAAATTATAGACAACAATTGACGTCAATGTTTACGTCCCGAATCTGGGTCACGAGAAAGAAACACAAGAACAAAGCCTAACCATGAAGAACTCAACAACCAATCACAGCAGACTCAGCGTGGGCGAATATATGGCCGGACCGTCTAAGAAACGGTCACAAGCAGGAGAGAATAAACTTCAGCAAGCAAAAAAACCACTCAGAAGACGTTGCTTCTCTGCTAACAATAACGCTAATAATAATGCACGTGAAAATCTATAAATATCTCTTGATTTTCTGAATAAACGATCTGTTGCTTGGCACTTGTCTTCTGTCTTTACAAAAGAACTATTGATCAACTCTTGAAAAAACAAAACTAATCCTTACAACAAACCAACTATAGACACCACTGGTACAGAAACCTCTAGCTTGAAGCCCTATGTTCCACTGGGAACGTAAAGGAATACAAATTATATATATATGTATACTCTTTTCAGCGATATCATACTCAAGCTGTAAAATCGCATACATTATTATTTTATTGTCCTTTTCTTCTAATTTTTAGATAAATATATTCGATCCCCATGCACTACTGCCAAGAAAACACTGCAATCGGTATCGTCGTTATCATCTCCTCGTCTAATCAAGCGAAATCCAACGTCGATCACTTCACCCTCACATTCTTCAGCATTGCTTAAAAGTTATCCAAAGGGTGATGGTGATCATTTCATTGTAAAACATTATGGCGGTGTTGTTACCTATTCAATATCAGGTTTTGTAGCTAAAAATCTTGATCGTTTACCAATTCATTTATTGACATGGGTGAAAGAAAAATCTTTCCCGAGTGGTTGTCATCCCGAGAATCTTATTCATGTGATTATCAACCGTGCAGTAGAGACAGCTAATCAAGGCATAAATTCATCATCAATGTCGATGCCTTTCAACTCTTCATCCTCAACACCAATACCATCATCATCGTCATCAGCATCTTCATTTCATGCAGAAAGTCCCGGAAAAGTTGTTAGATCACCGTTAAAACAAATTCATATTCATACAAATAATAATGGTAATACTAGTAATAATATTTGTGCTCAAAGTAATTCAAACGTTATGTTGCATAGTCCCTCTGGTAAAATTAACTGTGGTGTTATTCATGTCATTTTCTTCTAAATGTCTTTTTAAGTTTAACGGTGGATTGATGTCAGTTAGAGAATCATTGAAAACCAGCGCTGGAGTATTGAACAGTTACTAAGTCATTCTAGTTTGGGACTCACTTTAAGTAGGCACCCACCGGGACTTGACTCAATGGCTAGCCTATGAATTCTAACTTTTACCAATTCGTGATTTTTAGCGTAACCAACAGGTGGGTGTGTACTGCCGATAAGTCCCAAAATTAGGCTGACGAAACAGCTGACTGTACAATACTCCCTACTTGTTTCCATTACTCCTCTCACTGATATCGATCCGTGGTCAAACTTCCAAGACAAATCCAAATCCCTAGAAATCAACTCTTGGAAACTTTAATTATTTGTTCTAAATGAACATTCTGTTACGTTTTCCCTGGCTGGTTGTTAGTGTTGGTGGACCATGTGACAGGACACAGGATGCAACTTTCGTTTCATTTGAGACTCGTCAGCCTAGTTGTACTTGCATCCCCAGCGACTAACTGATTGAGTTTTCAACATAGAACTTTGTACAAAAGTGCAAATCTTCAAGTTGTCATATTAATTCATATGACACATAAAGGGCTAATGAATTTTAAACATGGAAAGTCATGAAGATTTACTGGGTCTGGAACACTAAAAACAGTCAGTGGATCTATATCATTCATGAAGATTTTGAGACATATCACCACCAAACGTCTCCAACCATTGCTTCTCGGAGTCTTGGAGATCCTAGCCACACAGTCTACACCCCGTTGTGTGTGGTTGGCTCAAACCGTCTTCTCAAAGAATTTATAGACTGACGCCAAGTACCTGTTTGAACACTCCTAATTTTTTTCCCAACCTAATCCTATATCATATATATCCAAACCAAGTTGACTTTTAATAATTTGAAAAAAATTGGGCACTGGGTATATGATATTCATTATAATAAAGGTTTTCTTGTATTTCCCAATGAATGAAAAACAAAACGATATTGTTTTCACTGACGTTTCACTATTTAATGCTAATCAAAATATTATCAAAGTAGTATTAAACCGGAATTTACAAAATCTCAGCATATATATAACACAGAGTTAAGAGGTGAGAAAATAGACAAGTTAGGTCAAGTTAAAAGGACATATTGAAAGTAAAAATAACAATGAAGATCACTAAACCAAATAACAAAGGTAATAGTGTAACAACAGAAGGCAAGAGTCAGGCAACAGATCGTTTATTATGGAAATCAACGCATATATATAGCTTTTCATGTACATTATTATAGATTATTGTTAGCAGACAAACAGTCTTCTGATTGGTGGTTGTCTTCTCACTAAAAGTTAATCTTTCATCCCTTTGTGGCTGTTTCTTGGTTGTCAGATCATCTATCTGCTAATTGTATCCGCCTACGCACAGTCTGCTATCAGTCTTTGTTCTTGTTTTCACATGACTAATATTTGGGACATAAATTACTGTCTACCAATCTGGCTAGCAACCAGTTCTCACCACAATAGTACATCCGATGGGTGGCTCGGAATACAAAACACCTGTTCTAACTACCGCAGTCAATGCATTTCCACAGTCTCATCCACCTGTTGGCTTTCCCACCTTAACACTACGACTCTACACCTAACGTCAATATTACTCAATCTATGATACCATTTACCACATGGGAGAGAACGGGGACGTCTATGGTTGACCATAGCTAGCCTTTCCTTTTTTTCCACTCCCAATGAGTGTCTCACTACTATAGAGACAGGACAAAGAGAACTGCAGCAGAGTACACAAAAAATATGGAATACATTTAATGAACCGCCTTATCACATCCGACTGCTTTCCATACCCATATATTCACGTTACTTTCCAACATTACTACGTGATATATGATTCCTCTTCAGTGTAAGCAACAGGAGCAAACCAACTTTTTAGGTGATCCATTAGGCATGATGACAAACGCCTACGAGGCTAAAGGATTCTTGTCAATACTGTTGGTGAACATTGAATCATTTGTCTGTGTGTTTGTTCGAAATGGTCTCCATATTGGTGGGTGACAAGAAAGGCTGTTACTGCTTAGTCGTGTACTGGTTGGCAGGAGATTGGGGAAATACCATCTGAACTATTGTTGTACCTTCTGTTAACGTTTATTTACAGACTTGGGCACTGATAAGCGATTGTAAATCTGTTGCATTATGACTTGAAGAATGAACAGTCGTGTTGCCTAACCGTTTTGTAGTGTTCTGCGTCGGTTAAACTGTACACAGTTCTACGTATTATGCTTATTGCCTCACTCGTTTTTCGGAACCAAAGATTCGCTCCCTCTGTCAAATGTAAGATGATGCTACAGGACTGGGCTACATTGACTCCTGCCTCAGAAATAGAGAGTGAAGTGGTAGAGCACGTTAGCCGCTTCAATTATTTGGGAAGTACCATCAGCCCCAACGGGTTGATCTCTGACGAAATCTCAATACGGATACAGAAGGCTAGTTTCGCATATGCAAGTTTGCGTCGTCTCTGGCGTAGACGTGATATACGACTGGCTATCGACCAAAGGGCGTGTGTACTCCTCAGCAGTCCGCTCCGTCCTCCTTTATGTCTGGCTGTGAGACATGGCCATTGAGAGTGGAAAACATGAAAAGGCCGGGTAGCTGTCTTCGATCATAGGTGCCTGCGTTCTGTCTCCTGTGTTAAGTGGTATAATAAGGTGAGCAATATTGAGGTTGGACATCGGTGGGGTGCTAGGTAGGTAAGGAGGGAGAATCAATTGAAGAGGCTGTGAAGCTACATCGACTGAGATGGTTAGGACATGTGTTACGTTTGCATGCCTAGCCATCACCTTCCTCGACAATGGGCAATGTTAACTGAGATAGGATGGATTAGGTTGGAAAAGAGCCAGTGGTGGTCAAACCAAAACCAACATGGCTTCACCAGTCAATGAAATCCACAACAGTTAGTTTAAGCCAGTCACGTGGGGAGATGTAGACTGCCTGACTGGTTGCAATCCTCGGGACAGTAAAAACCAATGGTTGGAAACAATTGGTGACATGGCTCAAAATCCTTGTTGTCAATGGCTAGCGCAGATGCATCCACTCCTTGTGACTTATGATTTCCAATGAAACTATACTGTTCTTCGTTACTACTGTTCCTTTGTCTCTCACCTCTGTTTACTGTCTCTGTTATGCATTTCTTCTACTTTCTTCTCTTGCTTTGTGTGCTACAAGGAGGGAGTGTGGCGACTTGAACTGCTGCACATATGTGCAAAGTTCTTCGTCTAAAACAGACAGACAGAAACCAGAGGTAGGTCCACGATGTCTACGATTTCGATGTTTGACAATTTCTCATCGTATTTCGCCAATCTTCTGTCAACCAGTACACAGACGATTTAGCAGTAGCAGCCTTTTTGTCTCTCACCAGCATAAAGACCAGTTCGAACAAACAAACAGTGAAACGATTTATTGTTCACCAGCAATGACACTCCCCGGCAGAAAGAGAACCATTGCTATCGATGGATGAGGATTTGACTGCTAATGGGTAACCCCTGCCAACCGGCACTAGGCTGAAATGGAAAGCAAGGCAACATCGCCAACACACAACAGGCATATCCACATCACACCGGTGCGCTTTCTCCCTATCCCCGGTATGTGGAACCTCGATCCCTGGTCGGAACGCCTCTTCGCTCTCTATCGACAATACCCGACAAATAATTGTTGTCCTTATCACTTTCTTGGATGCTTCTCCATCTGCATAACTCACTTTCAGCTCATGCCTACCCGGCGAATCTATTCTAATACGATGGTTTTAACATGACACACTCCCTTCATAAATTGCAGAAGACTCGAAACGATTTCACAACTAATCACATTGACATTGCAACATGATTTATCCGATGAGACAAAGTACACACATAACAAATGGACAGGGGGAAACCAGAAAGCAACTCAGTTTATCATGACAGAGCTCGTGAAGCCATGTTATTTGTAACAGAAATGTTAACTGAAAATAGCATTAAATTAGAAGAGTTGTAGGTGTAGTCAAAAAATAGCATGACACAAATCCATAAGGTGCTTATCGCTTCTGAATAGGGAAAATAAAGTCTCCTTGATTGAGGCCCATGAAATATGCAAACTCTTCCTGATATCCTTAAAATGTATCCCACAGTATAGTCTGTATAGGTTACATGATTTCATCATGAGCTGACATAAGTTAGAGAACAATTAGACAACGTGGGAGTACTGGACAGCTGTTTCGTCCTAGTTTGGGACTATTCAGCAGGCTTTAGACTAGAAAGAGGGTATATTGATCATATCTTCACCCTTCGACAGATTCTGGAATATAGGCATACTTACCGTCGGCGTCCAAAAATCGTTAGATTTCTTGACCTAAAGGCGCCATTCCATTCTGTCAACCGAGAGGTACTCTGGCGACGCTTGGCTGTAAATAGAATGCCGAGAAAATACATTGCACTGATCAAGGCACTCTGCTCAAACTCATGCAGCCAGCTAGGTGAGAGCTTACGGCGAGTTGTCATCTGAAGTGGTGACGACTAGTGGTGTCCGTCAGGGATGCCCATTATCCCCATTCCTATTCAATTTCATCATAGATGTACAAATGGACTTAACCCTAAGTGACTTTAGCGACTCAGGGATTGACTTGTTACCAGGGAATAATCTCGTTGACTTAGAGTATGCAGATGATATAGTCCTGCTTCTAGGTGAAGACACTGACAAAATGCAGAGTCTTTTGAACACCTTGAGCAGCAATCTTCGAATATTTTGCATGCGATTCGCTCTCTCTGTCAAATGTCAGATGATGCTATAGAAGTGGACTGGCCTACACTGATTCTTAGCTTAGAAAAAAGAGAGTGAAGTGTGGTGCAGCGTGGTGACCACTTCACTTATTTGAGAAGTTGCATCAGCCAACGCCAGAGGGTTGATCGCTGACGAGATCTCAGTACGGATACGGAAGGCCAGTTTACGCCGTCTCTGGCGTAGACGTGATATCCGACTGGCTATCGACCAGCTGGCGTGTGTACTGCTCAGCAGCAGTCCGCTCCGTCCTCCTTCATGGCTGGCCGTGAGACCTGGTTATTGAGATTGGAAGACATGAAAAGACTGTCTGTCTTTGATCATATATGTCAGTGTTCTATCTCCCATGTGAAGTGGTATAGTAGGGTAAGCAATCCTGAGGTTAGGCATTGATCGAGTGCTAGGTATTGGGAGGGGAAATCAATTGAAGAGGCTGTGAAGTTACATCGGTTGAGATGGATAGGACATGTGTTGCACACGCATGCATGCCCAGCTATCGCCTTCCTCGATCGGCGATATTAGCTGATATATAGGATCAGGTTGGAAAAGAGCCAGTGGTGGTCAAATGAAAACCAACATAGCTTCAGTCAATGAAGATATCCACAACAGTTAGTTTAAGCCGTGTAGGATGGTGTAGACTTCCTGGTTGGGGTCCTCGAGACGGTAAAAACCAATGAAGGCTGGAGACAATTGGTGATATGGCTTAAAATCCTTGTTGTCAATGGTTGTTGGAGATGCAATCACTCCTTGTGCCTTATAATATCCAATAAAACTAAATGGATCTTTGATATAACTATTCTTTTTGTCTCATATCTCTGTTTATTATCCCTCTGTTTAATCTCATTTTACTTTCCTCTCTTGCTTTGCGTGCTACATGAAGGGAGTGTGGCGACTTGAATTGCCGCACATCGGTGCAAAGTTCTACGTTGAAAACAGACAGACAGACATTTAGATTCATCAGTACAGTACGCACTCCCTCTGGGGTTCGAACCCAGGACTTTCTGGTATAGCTTTTACTATACTTAATAAATTTTACACTTTCTCTTTAGGTATATTCAATTTTTTTTATTTATGTGTTTTGGGATAATTAGACATTCATGGGACCAAAAAGTTGGCGTCGCCTACAAATCGTCGAATCAATACACGTCGATTGAATACAGTATTTGGTAACTTTAAAGTAAGTCTATTATTAATATCAATATTATTATTATTATTATTACGAAGACGAAATAGAGAGTGTGAATACTACTCTTCTGCGAAATGGGTTATCCTACAAATTTTGTAAAGAAGTGTATCTATAAAAGGAGATGTATAAAATAAAGGGGGGGGGTTACAGTGAGCTAAGAAAAAGCTTTATTTAAGAGTTCACTTCATGAGTGATATATACATACGTAATGATGATAGCCAGACAAAGAAGCCCAATGAGGGGGCACCAAAGAACTATGAAGTTTGCAAAGCCCACAGTCAGCTAACGAATTTTCACAGGTGACTGCTCGTAAGTAGCAAAAGAAACTTGCTAAATATCTCCTGTGACTCAATAGCGAAGAATCTACATCCTCGAATCGTTAGTTAAAGAGAGATCACTCTTTCGAAGAAGACACTAATTAAAAATGAGAAATTCCCTACGATTTATACATAGAAACACATAAAACCAAAAGATCAAAATTCTACGTCTGTGCGGAAGATGATATAAATGTGAATGTAGACTTCAAATGCCCTGACTCTACTATCCGATATATCAACCAAAAATGCTATTAAAAGAAAAGATTACTCCCATCTATATTAGGAATTTTATCTAAAATAGACAAGGAAAATTATCCTCCCACCTGGATATAAAAGGACCATAAATGAGTAAGCACAGAGTGCTACAATTGAGCACATTTCAGACACTAGCGACTCACTGTTTAAGAAAATTTCACATAAAGTTGTTTACAAAGTCGAAACATACACACACACACACACCCAAAAACCCCGTTGTTTTCTCATCCTTGTCATTTATATTAAGATTTCGATAAAGGAAAGAAGACGAAATTTGCAGTATAAAATGTGATATCATCATTCTATTTCACTGGTTCTCATCATCTGCACACCACTACCTGAAATTACAATGGCCATATAGATGATAATGACATAATTTGATGTTTAAGTGGTAGTAGAGAAGAAATACTATAAAACTGACGCGTCCAAAATGTGAGCATTACAACTTTTAGTTTAAGTTTTCCTCATTAATTTATACTCTTTCAAAGTAGAAAGGAGAGGGGAGGGATAGGGCAGGAAAAATTAACATCCGATATTGTTAGCTTGTAGGTTCATATAGCAACTCAAAAAATGGAAACAATTAGTGATATGGCTCAAAATCGTTCTCAATGGCGCAGATGCACCCACTCTTTGTGACTGATGATTTCAAATGAAACTATACTGTTCTTCGTTACTACTGTTCCCTTGTCTCTCACCTCTGTTTACTGTCTATATTATGCATTTCTCCTACTTTCTTCTCTTGCTTTGTTCTTCTTCTTCTTTACTTCGGCTATCTCTTACGAGAGGATGAGCCGGCTTCAGGAACATCTCGAATCATCGCTGCCCAGGCGCGGCGATCTGATGTAAGGTTTAGCGACAGGATTGTCCAATTCTTGTTCTACAGACGGAGTCCGTAGACGGTTTGTAGCCCCAGGCACTCCATATCAGCCTTGACTGCACCTCGTTTGTAAGAGAGTTCATGAAGTTTCATGGGAATTTGGTACGAGTGATGTCCCAAGAATCGCTCGGCCTTTTGTTTGAGAGTGCAGCTCTAGCCTTTACACAACCAAGTGTGACCTACAAGGCAGTAGGAGTGGAGTAGGGAGTCCACTATCCATTGGCAGCCGGTGACCGGAGTTCGGTTCATAAGCCTTTTGAATGGGGCCAGACATCCAGGACATCCAACAAGCCCCTTGTCCATACCTCTGCCGGTGAGCTCCAGTGGGCTTCATAAGCCAGTCGTTGGAGGTTTGGAATCAGGGTTTAGCCATCTCCCCTAGACTGTCATCCAATGGACAGTCAACCCGGTGAAGAGCACCGGGCATCCGCTTTCGCCCTCTCACTTTGGTGAGAAACACCTCCGCCACGTGAAGGCAGTGAGTAGGACTTCCTCAGGAGAGGCTATGTAAGACGCCCGGTCATATGGGAGCATTTCAAGAGGTGTGCGGAGGGGTGGCCAACCCGCAGTGCAAGGCACCCACCCCCGACCATCCTGAGGCTTTGGAGGCTACAAGGAGGGAGTGTGGCGACTTGAACTGCCGCACATATATGCAAAGTTCTATGTCGAATACAGACAGACAGGCGAGATGTCCGGTATCAACAATATGTCTGGTAATTGCATGTCTGAGAATATTTGCTTCCTTTCAGGCACAGGTTTCTTGGAATCTGTTCAGAAAAGCTGATAGAGACCCTTTTTTATTTTTTTTATTAGAGCTTGAAACCACACAGTATTTTTGATACAAGTATAGAATTTTCAGCATATGATATCGGTAGCCCAAATTTTGAAGACCGACCATAGATATCAGGTGTGCGTCGGCAGAGGATCGAACCCCGGACCATGTGCATGGTCGACGAGAGTCATAACCACTGTACTACCGTCCTTCCAATGTACTTGCTCCCGGAAAGTAGGACTTCTATCCGGGCTTCTACTCCCTTGGCAACTGAATTTTGATTTTGATTACATTAATTAGTCATCTAATTCAGGGGTCTCAACTCACTGAATAAATCTCAATCTTATAAACTGTAACCGTTTTTTGAGTTGCTATATGAACCTACAAGCTAACAATATCGGATGTTAATTTTTCCTGTCCAATCCCTCCCCTCTCGTTTCTACTTCGAAAGAGTATAAATTGATGAGGAAAACTTAAACTAAAAGTTGTAATGCTCACATTTCGGACGCGTCAGTTTTATAGTATTTCTTCTCTACTACCACTTAAACATCAAATTATGTCATTATCATCTATATGGCCATTGTAATTTCAGGTAGTGGTGTGCAGCTGATGAGAACCTGTGAAATAGAATGATGATATCACATTTTATACTGCAAATTTCGTCTTCCTTTCTTTATCGAAATTGATCAAGGGAACCAAATGTATCAAATTTATTAAGATTTTAGTTATTTCTTAGAAGAAATGTGGATTTATGCATATAGAAGAAGCATTTTCACCCAGTCTTTCTATCATTGACATAATTAGTGTCAATATTAATTTTTATTATTGTCCATTGAAGTCGACCACCGACAATGTACAACTGTGTGAAAGGTAAGTAGATAACATTTTCATCGTCTGCGACAATAGTTACTACCACCATTAATTGCTAGAAGTATTTAACAACTGCCATCCAGCAATAAAATTCACTTAGAAATGGAAGACGAATCCAAAATCTTGACCAGTAGGGTGCAGCAGGTCGGGTGTGAGGACAAAAGCTCGCCACCGATGATATAGGCTAGTGGACGCCCTATGTGGTGAATTGGTAGAAGTTGGAATTCATACGCCAGCCATTGGATTGGGTCCCAGTCGCTTTATGGTCTACGAGCTCGGTAGCCATGTAACAGGAAGTTCCTGGGTTTGAACCCCACTGGGGTGGGTGCGTGCTACTGAAGAGCCCCAAACTCGGGCGAAACAGCTGTCCAGTACTTCCTAGTTAGTTTTCCAATGGTTCTCTAACCAATGCCAGGTCATGATGAAATCCTGTAACCTATCAAGTCCCTAAAAACCAACACTTGAATCCAAAATTTTTGATGCGGAATCAACAAGACAACTCAACGGAACCTTAAGGTCATTCCATAGAAAACCCACATGGTGGAACAGTAAGCTAAGAAGTTTCTACAGTTGGGTACTTGTTGACCGAAAACAAAATAAAATCAAATCCCTTGTCACTGCGACCCAATGCATCTACTGTCCTGATGACCTGGAAGCAGAACTGGACCTTCTCTGAAAGAAACCTGGATTTCAAGGGAGAAGTAGCCTTGAGATATCCTTAAAAGGAGAATTTCAACACCTTTGAGGAAAACATTATTCGCATCAGCACTAAGAATAGTGTTCTGTAGTCATCCAGGTCACAGGTTTCTGATAGATATGTACTCGTCGTCAATCTCGGTAATGACCGTTGATAAACACTTGGTAGTTGGGCTAACGAATTTCCAATCTTAGTCGATTCACGAGCCTATAATTCCAACCAATATTAGCAAAAACAATAACAACACGATACGGCACCACCAAAAACGTGACAAAAGAAGACAAGATGAGAAGTATGACTGTTGACGTGGAGAGATTTCATTGTATTGTAGTTGTTTTCTCTAAGCTGTATGGTTTACTTGGTAAGCTATCATTGCCCTATTAGGCAACATTTTCACCGTATACTTCAATTTGTTGAAGTGAGCTATTAAATTTCTCCACCAGTTTATTTTAGCCATCTTCAGGAGAGATGAAAGCTTCACAAATAAACCATCCAGCTCAGACAGCACGACTACATCAAAATCATCCACCTGAGCTACAAATCTGCTCCATCATATCTGGAGCTTTAATTGTCTCGTATCAACAGCGAAAGCAATTGACAGCGCTTCCGTATATACATACTTTAAACGTGACCATGAGAGACACTAAGGACATTGATAAATTAAAACAGCCAACAACCAATAGGATTTCAAAGGTCAAATTGTGGTGACAGAAAATTAGGTCTTAAATCAATAATTGGTTTTTGTAAGGATTTTGTTTGATTGGTTGCATGATTTCATCATGAGCTGACATCGATTAGAGAACCATTGGAAAACCACCTGGGAGTACTACCAGACAGCTGTTTCATCCTAGTTTGGGACTTTTCCGCAGTACTTACCCATAACCTCACCTCCAGGGATCGAACGTACGGCATTCTGTCCAAAAAGCGAGCTCATTGACTATTCGACAACTGCGGCGGAATCCAATGGCCCATCAATACCAACTTCTGCCAATTCGCGTTATATCTCACTATACTGGAAACCAATGTCAACGAGGAGCAGTAATAGGATACACTCAATTTGGTGTATCCTATTGGTCACGACTTCTCAATAGAACGCTGGATTCCCTCACTGGTGGTTGGTTTTATGCGTGCGTATTGACGAGGAGTTCCAAGCTAGGACCAAACAGCCGTCTAGTACTCCATGTTGGTTTTCGTTGGTTCTCTAACTGATATCAATCCGTTATCAAACTTGAAATAGAAATCAATTGACTACAAACAAACTCATGAAATATTTTTTTCTGCTCGCTAGTGACTGACTACAAGATGATGTTTCCTGGAGTTCTAGTGAGAAGTCGTCACTAGCAGTTCATCTGGTTCATCCGGTCAGGAGTAAGGACAGTTACTCGCCACCGATGACGCTGATTGTTGGTCACGTTAAAAGATCACGAATTGGTGGAAATTAGAATTCATGAGGTAGCCGTTGAGTTGGGTCCCAGTGGCTTAACGGTCTACGAGCTAGCTGGCCTTGTAACCAGAAGGTTATAGGTTCAAACCCTTTGGGCTGGTGCGTACTGATGAAGAGTCCAGAACTAGAACAACGGAAACAGCTGTCCAGTACTCCCTACAGGTTTTGTTTCTTGTTTCTTGTAAGCACTAACTTCAAACACAAGGAGAAACACTGTTTGACCTGGCGACCTCCATCATCAAACCAACGCTGGACACAAATAGACCACATAGCAATAAGCTATCGTTGGCGTGGGTCGGTAGGGGATTGTCGCTCCTTCTGGAACACGTGTGTAGATACCGATCACGCACTGGTCCGCGCTCGTGTGTGCTTACGACTGAACGGACGTAGGAAACAGCTGGCGGTAAAACCATCACGTCCCCAGCTCGATCAGGAAACTAAGTCCCTATTTGAGGAAGAACTAGCTAAACACATATCTGAGTTCGACAGCTGCGCTCACCCTGAAGAAGCCTGGAAGAATATTCAATCAGCCATAGATACAGCTGTAAAAGCTGTGAATAAGGTAAATCCAAAGGTGAGTAAAAACCATTGGATTTCGACTGCCTCATCCCAACTGATAGATGCTAGAAGACTTATTCCGGCGAGCTCCGAATTCAATGAGGAGCGAAAGCTGCACAAAAGGAAACTTACGAAAAGTCTCCGCAAGGACCGTGAACAGTGGTGGCTGACAAAGGCGAAAGAGATGGAAAAAGCATCGGCGATAGGCAACACTAGGCAACTCTTTAGACTCATCAGGGAAACGGGTGGGAGAAGGCAAATCATAAGTGAGACTATTTGTGAGAAAAATGGCTCCTTAATTAGCTCTCAGGATAGACGCCTCGAACGCTGGAAAGAACACTTCGAGGAACAATTCAACTTGCCCACAGCCACATTGAGCCTCCTCGCCATCCAGCACACACCCGAATGGGACATAGACACTAGCCCGCCGTCTGTAAGTGAGGTCACCAAAGCTATCTGTAATTTGAAACGAGGCAAAGCGGCAGGACCCGACGGAATTATTCCGGAGGTGTTTAAATATGGGGGTGACATACTAGTATATAGTTTAACTAAGGTACTAGGTAACGTCTGGGAATCAGAGACGGTTCCATCAGACTGGGGTAAGTCACTTATTATACCAGTATTCAAGAAGGGAGACAAGTCCTCATGCGATAATCATAGAGGAATCAGCCTAACGAACATAGTCTCTAAAATCCTAGGCTCAGTAATCATGAACAGACTAAGCCGAACTCGGGAGGAACAAACGAGGGAAAATCAAGCGGGCTTTAGGCCAGGTAGAGGGTGCATAGATCATATCTTCACTCTCCGACAGATCCTAGAACATAGACACACTTTTAGGCGTCCAACAATTGCCATATTTCTAGACTTGAAGCCGGCCTTCGACTCCGTGTATCGAGAGGTACTATGGCAATGTTTGACTATTAAGGGAGTGCCTAGAAAGTACATTGCACTAATCAAGGCACTCTACTCAAACTCACGTAGCTGTGTAAGGGCTTATGGGGAATTGTCATCTGAATTGATAACTACCAGTGGTGTCCGTCAAGGATGTCCACTTTCCCCTTTTCTGTTTAACTTCATCATAGATATGCTAATGGAAGTATCCTTAACTGAACTTAACGACTTAGGAATCGACTTGTTACCAGGGAATAGTCTTATGGACTTAGAATACGCAGACGACATAGTCCTGTTAGGGGAGAGGACGCTGACAAAATGCAGAGTCTTCTGAACACCTTGAGCAGCAATCTTCGTATGTTTGGAATGCGATTCGCCCCTGTGAAATGTAAGATGCTGCTACAGGACTGGACTACGTCAACTCCTAGCTTAGTGATAGGGAGTGAAGTGATAGAACATGTTGACCACTTCACCTATTTAGGAAGTTGTATCAGCACCAACGGATTGATTGGTGACGAAATCACAGCACGAATCCAGAAAGTTCGGGCTGCCTTCGCTTACTTACACCGTCTCTGGCGTAGGCGTGACATCCGGCTGTCAACCAAGGGACGTGTATACTGCTCAGCAGTTCGCTCCGTCCTTCTCTATGGCGGTGAGACGTGGCCACTGAGAGCGGAAGACATGAAGAGATTGTCTGTTTTTGACCACAGATGTTTACGATCTCTTTCTCGCGTTAGGTGGTATAATAAGGTAAGTAATGTTGACGTTAGGCGTAGAGTGTTGGGCAGAGAGGGAAAATCACTCGAAGAGGGTACGAAGCTACATAGATTGAGATGGTTAGGTCACGTGCTGCGCATGCCTAACCATCGTCTCCCCACCCCGACGGGCATTACTAGCTGATATAGGTGCATGTTGGAAAAGAGTAAGTGGTGGCCAAACAAAAACATGGCATCAATCAATCCATGAAATCCTTGACAGTTAAACTGAGTCAGGTAGGGAGATGCAGACTTCCGGGTTGGGGCCCTCGGGACTCTAAGAATCAATGGCTGGAGACAATAGGTGACATGGCTCAAAATCGTTGTCAATGGCTTACGCAGATGTATTCAGTCTCTGTAATCTTTCATATTCCTTTCTACCATTACTCATTCTGTTTCACTCTTATACTTATCTAAATTCTATTGATTCTCTTCTCACATTTTCTTGTCTACCTTTGTGTGCTATTTGGAAAGTGGCAACTCGAACTGCTGCACTTGGGTGCCAAGTTCTATGTTGAATCCAGCAGCAGCAGCAGCAGGTTTTCCAATGAATCTCTAACCAGTGTCAGCTCATGATGAAATCCTCTAACTAATAAATAAATAAATAATTAATGGCTGTGTGAATTCTCATAATATTCATGGACTTATAACTGTGGAGCCTGAAGAAGAAGCTTTTGTCGAAATCACAATTGTTCACTCAATATCATCTTGTTCTGATTATACTATGAGGATTTTTAATTTACATAATAATTTGTTAATGTGTACATATTGATCAAATTGGTTATCTCTGATATGCTTTTCTTTTGTTTTTCTCTCTCTCTCTCTCTCTCTTTCCTCAAGTCATCTTTAGATCAACTACTTGATGTAATTACTAGTCATAATTTATTTTTCATACGTTGTATTCGCCCGGATATACCGTCGAATAATGTTGTTGGTCAACCGACAACTTCGCCGTCGTTGTCGCCTTCTTCTCCTTGTTCTCCCCCTTCTCCTCCTTCTATTGATGCTGACTATGTTAAAGATCAACTTGTAAATAGTGGAGTTTTGGCGGCTTTAGAAGTTCTACGGTCTACTTATTTTGCAAGGTAACATGTTTGTTATTATCATCTTATAATATGGTATATATGTTGATATATGGTTGGAGGCAATCGGCAGGAAGCCCTACCTGACCTAGGGTTCGTGCTAGTTGGCGCTCACCAGTCAGTCAGCAAGGCGTGCCTCCAACCTTGAAGCAACTTACTCATGTCCCTTCTGAGATTTGAACCCGCGTCACCCAGTACTGCAGCACTGGGTTGCAGATACGCCTTGCTGACTGATGAGTGCCGACTAGCACGAAATCTAGCTCATGTAGGGCTTCTTGCTGATTACCTCCAACCATCTTAGATCATTAGATCAATGTACACCTTGATGGTGAGCTACCTAGTGCCATGGTGGCCACATTGCGAACCTAACTGACTGGTAGAATTCAGTCTGCACCAAACATCAAGGACTAGACACATCACACTAGTCACTGACTAGTGTCCAATCAAAGTATGGTATATATATGTGTATGTATGGTGTCGGTGGTGCAGAGGTAGAATCGTCGCCAGCCATGCGTGTGGTCCGCGATCCGATCCCCGGCCAACGCAATTCTAGACAGTTGTCTCACTTAGCTGGTAGTAATCCTGGTATAGAGGGAAGATTGTGGGGCGTGAGGCCAGCAATGTCACCTCGTTAAAATAAAGCTACTACTACTACTGAAACGTCAAATCTCAAGCTTGAGGACCTATGTTCCTTTCAGAACGTAAAGGAACAGTATATATATCATCTTCAAGCAATAACATGTGTCTAATCCTTGTTGTTGATGGTTCCGAGTGAATTCTATCAGCCTAGTTTGCAATATATTGGTCACTAAACCAAGTGACTCCAACGTCACAATTCACTATGAATTAAATGTTAGATAGGGCGGTTCGAGATGATCGTCAGGATGTCCTGAATGTGCCTAGATTTCATCCTTGTTAACGTTTGTCTGTCAACAAGATCTATCGCTGAAATCTTGAAGGAACCGCACTCGATTGTGGGTACCAATAGCGCCAGGTGATGCTGGTTCTAATCCCAGAAGGCATATTAGTTCCATTCAAGGTGTTTTAGCTACGTCTTGCTGACTGGTGCCAAAAAGCACAACACTTAGGTCAAGTAAGGTTTGCTTCCGCACGCCTTTTCAGCAACCACGTTCAAACGTCGATAGGATTAAAAAAGATATCAAGATATGCTTTTGGTCAATTGCGTAAAACCCAATTATCTATACCACTTTTGAGATGTTAGCCTTAAAATGTTATATGGTAGAGAGGTAAGATCAGTCTGTGGGTTCTTGAAGAGCTGTATCGATTGAGATAAATAGGGTATATGTTAAGCATGCCGAACCATCGCCTTCCTAAACGATGAGCAATGTTAACTGATAAAAAGATCAGTTTGAAAAAGAGTTAGATAGGGTAGTCGAACCAAAATCTGCTGTCAGTTTATGAAATCTTTGACTCTTGGTGATATTATGACGAGTGCTACTGATAAGATTTATCAGTAGTATATAAAAAGGTGTTCATCGACATAAAAACACATCAAATAGCAGGGGGAGATAGACTTGATGTCAGAGAAAACAAATGATATACCGTTGTGGAGAGATACATGGGAGACGCACAAGTGACACATTATAAAAGAAGGTCAGAAGTGGAAGGCACAACACGTAAGATCTGTGCAAATGTTGCGTTGAAGATAAGGTAGGTGTACATCATTTCACTATATAGAGGTACCAATTTCCAAATAAACCAACACTTGAAAATTCCTTTACCAAGTTTTTCGTCTTCTACCGTTAAGGCATATGGCTCAAAATTGTTGTCGATGGTGCTGATACATTCACTTTTTCTCCCTTAGTTGTTCTTTCATTGTGGTTTCTTCAAGTTCTCCCCCTCCCACACCACTCCCCTTGTTTTTATGTGTGCTATGTAGAGTATGACAACTTGGACTAGTGAATTCCTGTGGAAAGTTCTACCTGAAAAGAAAATTACCTTTTCAGTTATGCTATCTTTCTTGATTGCTATTTACGGTATTAGGCAATAGCGCAATAGCATAAAGAAGGAAATTTGAATTTTCAATACCATTGTTAAGTCAGTGAGTCATTTCTTCTGTATGGGTCACACACATGACGTGCGCATCAAGGAAAGCATTTCTTAAAGGCTACTTCAAACTTTTATCAATCGCTGCTTCCTCCTCTGGCTCCCATACTGAAGATCAAATGGCCGGCCGTGAAAAAGTTGGTAACAAGAAACTGTGGGAATGCACTAATCAATGATCTTACTGTTCAGCATGAATTCCTAAAAAAATGAAGATGGATTAGACACCTACTGAGTAGACGACTAAGTGACATTACATATCAGGCTGTTGAGTTGAGTCTAAATGGGAAACAATGAGGAGGCGTGTTGTTGGTTGAAGAGGACTTGAGAGGACCGGACGAAGTGCAGATGTTCTGTTGAAAACAAAGGTTCCACTTGAAACTCAAGGGAATAATAACAATCATAAAAATAAAATAACTGTGAGTTGAATCAAACCACATTAACGGTTGGTGTAACCGAAACGGCCATCCATTGCTTGATGCAAATACTATTATTTGACGTGATTGGTTTTGCAACTACTTATATCAGTCGATCAGTAGTATACACCAGTATGCTTACATCTGTTTTCCTTTTTTATTATTTTATTGATCATATATTATCTGCTCGATACTTCTTCCTCTTATTGTTTTCTGTTCTACTAGGTATGCATATGATGAGTTTATCAGTGAGTATAGAATATTCTGGCATTTAAATCCACATCCATCAGCTAGTCAATTATTAGAATCTGAATTCCAATTGTTGAATTCATGGTATTTAAAATTAACTCAGTTGCCAAAATCAACGGTGAAACGAACACCACTTAAATTAAGTCGTGAAACGAGTAAGTCTATGTTATTTTATGATTGTTATATTATTATTGCCTTAGGCTCTGAGTGGAATATAGGGCTTCAAACAACCTACACCTCCATTTCATCGTGTCCTCTGAAGTCCTTTTTAACTGACTCCACGATCTCCTCAGTGTCAGCCTTGAACCAAGTCGTCATTTCCTATTCGGGTTTCACTCAAGGGCCTAGCGTACAATGTCACTCAGACGGTCTTCTCTGCGTATATTCACTGCATCCCCATTTCCTTCTGCATATGGGTTGGCATCTGATTGATTAGTATTATTTTGTGTGGTGACACATTTTTTGTTTCCAATGTCCAGTTTGGAATCTATAACTCATGTTTTGTCCTATTTGGGACTCGTCATCTGGATGAGGCATATGAATGGTGCATTCGTGATTCGCAAAGATGGAATGTGATTTCAAGTTAATCAGCCTTGTAAACACTTTATATTTTCATTCACTTTGGTTATTATCAGTAGTAATTGTAATGTGGCTTTCACGGACTTTAATATTTGACTTTATATATCAGTGTTTTCGAGTCTGCTTCTCCTGTTACTCATTCTGTGTGACTGTTCAACTGACCTTCTTGAAGCAGTCAGCTCTTGTTGTGCTTCTGTATCAATTTCTCCATCTCACTGTGTATCCGCCTCTGAATTTGACTGGCGTCAGTATGCTGTTGTTTTCCTCCTCTTCTGATGGTATAAATAGGAGACCACATTTCTCGGTGGTAGTGTATGTTTCTTTCAATCTTGGAAGAAGCTTTTGTGAACGTTACTAACCTTCAATCAATATACTTTCTTCTTACTTTACTGTTGGGGATGCACCAACTTCGTCTTATTGTGTAATTGGTACTCATGATTTTTCGACGGTAGGTCGATTGAAACGTCGAATTTGCTTGTTGTTCCTTGTATCATCAACGAGGCAGGGCATCCCAGTAATATATAATGCCTCAGTATGATATATGTATATATATATATATGTATATAGGTTGTAAGTTAAACTTATTGTGTGTGCTTGTGTGTGTGCGTGGTATGGAGTCGATGATATACTAAACAAGTTGTCCAGCCAGGCTAAATTAAGTGGAGGAGAATTTTGAATTCCGGGACTTTGTGACTGAAATCCGATTGCTTAAGCAAAAGAAACGTAAATATAAATATATATACATATGACGTTACTTCATATGAGCTGTGATCAAGATTTGATAATTGAGCGCCGAGTACGAAGTAGACATTTGTAAACATTATGTTTGTAAAATCTCAGAAAAAATTGAAATGATTAATTCCAACACTCCCTACATTCCACAAACTGGACAGAACTTCTTCAGGGAAATTAATCGAAATTAACATAACAGAGGTTTATTTATATATAAAAAGGGGGACATCTCTTGTTTTAAAATAAACTTATTCCAATCATATGAGTCATGAAACAGGCATCAACATGTATAATAAACAAACGAAATTGTATGAGCTGTGATCAAAATTTGACCTCAGACTTAGAAATATTAGTCCTACTTTGGTTAAACACTTTAATTTTTACGAGTTGATCACGAATTGATATCAGTTGAAGAACCATTGAAAACAAGCAGGGAGTACTGGACAGCTGTTTCATCCTAGTTTGGGACTCTTCAAATCTCTACAAACCAATACTTGAATATCAATGAGATGCTCACTAGCGACTGGCTCTATTCAGGTAGGTAGTTACCTGGGTTCCAGTGGGAAGTCGTGACCAGTACGGTGCAGCAGGTTGGGTGTGTGGACAAATACTTGCCACCGATGACACTGGCTAGCGGTCGTGAATTGGCAGAAGTTAGAATTCATGGGTTGGCCAATTAATCGGGTCCCAGCAGTGGCTTAGTGCTCTACGAGCTTGCTGGGTTTGTAACCAGAAGGTTCTGGGTTTGCACTATGGCAGTGGTTGCGTACTGCTGAATAGGAGTCCCAGGCACTTGGACGAAACAGCCGTCCAGTACTCCTCAGCCGGTTTTCCAATGGTTCTCCCTCTAACCGATGTTAGGTCATGATGAAATCCTGTAACCAATCAATCAAATCCCTACAAACCAATACTTGAAAAGTGGACTAATATTTGTAACTCTGAGGTCAAATTTTGGTCGCGGTTCATGCAATTTTGTGTATTATACATGTAGGCAAGGGGCTAAGCGTAGCTGAGGCAGTTGTCATAAAAGAATTTTAGCCTAATCTTTGTGTTTACGAAAGGTTTGTTCAATCCCTCTCCCTCCCGTGGCTTTTAACCCCAACCTAGAATAGGTATCCTTCCCGGTGACACCCGCTAACTGTAAATATTATTTTGATTTTTATTTGTACTGCTAACTTCATTATCAATATCATACTGTGTTATAGTTGCATATTATAAAATTAGTTTTACAATTTATTTTCATTATTATTAATCTACTCTCATTCTCCTCGATTAAATTCAATTCTAATGATCCACATTGTTTCTGAAATGTCTTTGATGGATATTTTATTATGTAATTGTAGTAAGCTACCTCGTCAAGCTGCTAAAGAACGGTGGTTTAGGGCTCACTGTGCAAGAACTGCCATGGAATCATGCTCTTGTCCACCTACGCCAAGTAAAATACTAAGTCGCATCATCTTAGAAAGAATAAAGGATGCTCTGGATACAGAACTCCGCCCGCCTACCGGAACAAGGTGGATTCAGGAAAGGCAAACGATTTCCTCATCAAATTGAAACTCTACTCATCATCATCAGGGAACAAAGCATAGAATGGCAGCCAAGTCTCATTTTACCTCACCTTCATCGACTTCGAAAAGGTCTTCGACAGACAGTGTTGACGGAGACGTAATTTGGAAACTGCCTCAACACTACGGTATGCAGTGCCCAAGTCTTTATCAACCTCATTCAGCAGCTGGTTATATGAAAATGCCTGCACGTGTCAGGAAACTCAGCGAGGAGTTCGAAGTGCATACAGGAGTAAGACAAGCTGGCTGTCTATTATCACCGATGATATTCTTGATTGTGGTGTACTGGATTATTCGTCAGACTATGAGTGGGGAACAAGGAGTCAGGAATACGCTGGATGACCGATAAAAAGACTGTAGAAGATCTAGATTTTGCAGATGATATATGTCTAATGTCACACAAACTCGAAAACTTGCAAGCGAAAACCAACAAACTGGTAGGAGAAGTGGCCAGTGAAGACATGACTTCAGGAGAACATAGAGAAGACGGAGTTGGTGAAGATAACCAACGAACCGCAACAACAACAACCACCAGTACCAATCACCATGAAAGGGAAAGATTTAACATAGGCTACTTCCTTCACTTATCTGGCCAGGAAGCACTGTTTCAACTACACGTCAAAGTCAGTCAGCATCGGAAAGGCAATATACACCTTCATCAACCTGAAATCAGTTTAGAAATCTTCTACACTACAATATTCGCATTTTCAACACCAATGTCGAGTCCGTCCTTCTATACAGGTCGGAAACTTGCACTGGGTGTCACGAAAAGGATTTCCAACATCCTGTTGCGGACTTTCATCAACAGCTGCCACCTTCTCTGGCTCCATACTGAAGATCAAATGGCCAGAAAGAATTAGTAACAAGAAACTCTGACTGGGAACAAACCAACCAAGAGCCGAACGCTCAAAAATATGTCGGAGAAAATGGAGACGGATTGATCGGGCATACAATGAGGAGGCCGTCGAATGACATAGTGCGCCAGGCCCTCAAGTGGAATTCCAATAGGAAGCGACGAGTGGGTCGTCAGTGTGAGGGTGACATGGAGAAGATTGTGTGACTTGGATCCATTAAATCACATCTCTTTGTCACTTTCGTTAAATGGTTAGAAGAAAACTGTGTGACTTAGACAGCCTGGCCTGGTATGTACGTAAGATAAATAGTCTGTTCCGGTTATCCGATTCTTTCTTCTTCTCTTTCGTAATATCATTTTCGTGGATTCCGAGTGGAACTAATGAATTCTGAAGGATGTACTTAGTCAGTGGTCTGAGTGTTTTGATGCCTTGGCATACCAAAATAGTTAGGAAACCATTTAAAGCCAAGTAGCAGTGGATACCTTTTTCGTCTTAGTTTGGGGCTGTTCAGTAGTGCGTACTCACAATCCCACTAGAGCTCGAACCTGTGGACCTTCAGGATACAAAGTGATCTTGTAGTGATCCATGAGTTTTAATTTCTATCAACGTGTATCTATCAACGCAGCTAGTATCGTCGGTGAGTACTCCTCCCCACCTCCGATCTGGTGGACACCGCTAGTCACAACTTGTAACTATAGGAATCAGGGTAATTTTGTCGTAGTGAGCATTAGATTAATTTCAGAGTGTTAGTTTGTTAGGATTTCATCATGGAACGAAATCAGTGAAACAATCAAGGATTACTGTTTCGCCCTTGTTTGGAACTCCTCAATAGTGGACTTTACACACCCTTCAAGTTACGAGCCAAATCCTACGGCCATTTAGCTGCTGTGTGATGGGCTTCTTCAGAAGCGCATGTTGTTTAAACTAGAAGATCAGGTTAAGTGTATTAAGTGAATGCGGTTTAGTGATGAAGTCACATTATTATTAGCAGTACCATTCCTTTGGGTCCTGAGTGGACCTAATAGCTTCTACAGCAAGTCTCCACTTCCCCTTGTTGTCTGTCGTCATTTTTGGCTGGCTCAGTGATTGCGCATAAGTTTTCATCTCCTCCTCGCATGATTTTCTCCATGTCACCTTTATACCTATGCCTAAATTGTCGTCTCCCATTTGTGTTCCACTTTGGGTCTTGTCGGGTTATCTCACTCAATGATCTCCGCAACGTGTACTCACTTGTCTGGCCGATCTTCACTATCTCTGGCACATAATTGTTGTTGAACGATACCTTCTTGGTTGATTCTTTGCCTGAATTCCTTTCTGGCTAGCCATCTGATCTTCACTGTCGAGCCAGCTAAGGGAGGGGGAAGACAGTTGTTGATGAAAGTCTTCAGTTGGAAATGCATTTTTTTGTAACACACGTGCGTCTGAACTCTCTGAACCATATAGCCGGTTATTAACTAATTTAGTTCTTCGCTATATCGAATAACACTTTCATTCACTATTATGATTACTCTTTCTTATTCTTTTTTTCCAGGTGAATCCACCATACAACAACAGCAACAATTAGTGTTTATTCTGTTAACACTTGGATTGAATTTATCCTCAGTTAAACAGCATAAGAAGTCAACTATTGTTAATGCTACTACTAATAGTACTACTACTAATCATAGTAATAGTAGTATTAATTCATCACATCAAATATTTTCAAGCTTTCCTATCATCTATCAATTTGGTCGTACACGAATTCACTTGACAAAGTGTCAGTTTCAACATTTAATTAAATTAAAGCAATTTATGGTAAATATGAAAGCGAAAGTGATACAACGGTGTAAGTTACATAATCACCTTTTCCTAATTATTTCTATTATTAATATAAGAGTACAATTCAGGGATTGTTGTGTTGTAGAATATACTAATTCCTGCATTAGACAAGATTATTTGAGGTTCTAACACATACATAATGTTTTATTATCGATTTTTTTATTCCTTTACGTTCCTTATGGAAAATAGGGCTTCAAGCTAGAGGCTTGAAGTTTCGGTAGCAGTGATGCTTAGTTTTACGAGATGGGGTTGCTAGCCTCATGCTCCACAACTTTCCCTCTTTACCAGTCTTGTTATATACTGGCTTAGCGAGGTAAAGAAGTGCGTCAGTGGCCGGGGTTCGAACCCCGGACCACACGGGGAGTGCTTGGCGAGTATTCTATCGCTGTGCCACTACTTACTTTACTTTACTTCGGCTATCTCCTACGGGAGGATGAGCCGGCTTCATGAACATCTCGAATCATCGCTGCCCAGGCGCGGCGATAAAAAGAGTTCATGAAGTTTCATGGGAATTTGGTACGAGTGATGTCCCCAGAATCGCTCGGCCTTTTGTTTGAGAGTGCAGCTCTAGCCTTTACACAACCGAGTGTGACCTACAAGGCAGTAGGACTGGAGTAGGGAATCCACTATCCATTGGCAGCCAGTGACCGGAGTTTGGTTCATACGCCTTTTTGAATGGGGCCAGACATCCTGGACATCCAACAAGCCCTTTGTCCATACGTCTGCCGGTGAGCTCCAGTGAGCTTCATACGCCAGTCGTTGGAGGTTTGGAATCAGGGTTTAGCCATCTCCCCGCACCAAGAATATGCTATAGGCATTTGGTTTATACCTGCATTGATTCACACTAATTGTTCTTTCAAACGTGTTTGCTTACAGCACCACTACTTATTTGGATTATTCATATGATATGATATGATATGATTATGAGCAATAAATTGTGCTCGAAACGTCATCAGTAAATATTACTGTATAACACTGTGAGACTCTATCAAAATAAAATTTACCCATAATGGATTATTCATTGCCTGGATGTGGGTTGGTTGGCTGTTCAATGTCCTGTGGGAGTTCCAGGTTCGATGTCCTGTCTATTATGCTCACTGCCAGTTAACTAGCCGCTAGTCAGCCCATAAAAAGAGTCTAGCTATCCTTACCCCATAAGAACGGAGAAATAGCACCACCGGAGCGGAAAAGAATGATGAAGAAATTGGATAACTGATTTGAGCATACACCTGAGCTGATTTTGAAACAAGAATAATTCTCACAAATAAAAGTCGGGTCTTTATTCAATTGATGACCGACTGATATGAGTAGTCGGACATACTACTCATATCAGACAGTAGGGCTTTCTAGCTATCTAGCGTCGGTGGAACAGCGGTTAGGATTCTCGCCGACCATGTACATGGTCTGAGGTTCGATCCCCCGCCGACGCACACCTGATATCTAAGGTTGGCCTGCTAAATTTGGGTTACCGATACCACATGCTGAAAATTCCATACCTGTACCAAAATACTGTGTGGAATCAAGCTATACTAAAAACGAAAAATGCAGAAATGATCCATACATTGGATAGCCATTTAGCTCGTTTGGGGGTCGAGCTCATCAATAGTGTATTCTATCTCACTCAGCTCAGCGGAACGAATACGTTGAGATTATCTGAATTTTGGCGAGCTGGTAAATACATTGAATCGAATTCGTCATTTGAAATTTGCACAGTCCACATTGAAATTCCACCATAGTTTCCATAGGAAACTGAAGGTTATTCCGATTCCAAAAATATGTAATCTGCTTTATATCATCAAGAAAGCAAGCACAACTTTTTATAATATTGTGATGAGAGCTGTCTGCAGGCCGAAATTATAGACAACAATTTACGTCAATGTTTACACGTCCCGAATCGGGGTCACGAGAAAAAACAATAACAAAGCCTAACCTTGTGGAACTCACCAACCAATCACAATAGACTTAACGTGTGCAAATACGATTTGCAGATATTTGGCTTAACTTTCTGAGAAACGGTCACAAGCGGTACAGAATAACCTTGAGCAAGAAAACAACCAATCAGAAGACGTTGCTTCTCCGCTGACAATAATGTACATAAAAATCTCTTGATTTTCTCAATAAACGATCTGTTGCCTGGCCTGGCCCTTGTCCTCTGTCGTTGCACTATTGGTTTAACTAAATAAAGGTGTAGTGGAAACCATCAACAGTTCGTTGTTAGACCATCTGGTCCAAACAAGTCATAAAGCTAGCGTTGAAGAGTCTTTTTTCTATTGGATACTCTCACTTAACAATAGAGGCTATTACAATTTGTCTAAAACAGCCGGTACACTGTGTGCAAAAGAAATAGCTTTAGCCATTATTACTACCTTGGTCTGTTGTAGAACCTATAAATCATCCCTTGTTCGTTTCCTTAATTTATCTGATATTGACGCATACTGTCACTCATATACAGGTGCTTTTGAACTGTAATCTGTCAGTATTATTGACTTTATGTTATCTAATGAACATTAATGTTGTTAGTAACGATAATTCTAATTATTTTTAGGTATTGGTTTGTAGGGATTTGATTGATTGGTTACAGGATTTCATGATGAGCTGAAATCGGTTAAGGGGAGAACCATTGGAAAACCAGCCTGGGAGTAGTGGACAGCTGTTTAATCTTAGTTTGAGACTCTTCAGCGTACTGCTGAAACCATTCAATCAAATCCCTACAAACCAATACTTGAAAATCAATGAGATGCTCACTGGCGATTGGCCCTATTGAGGTGGGTAGTTACCCGGGTGGGTTCTAATGGGAAGTCGTGATCAGTAGGGTGTAGCAGGTTGGTTGTGAGGACCAATACTCTCCATCGATGACATTGGCTAGCGGTCGCGGTATGTTATGAATCGCAGAAATTGGAATTCATGGGTTGGCTACTGGATCGAGTCCCACTGACTTAATGGTCTAACGAGCTCACCTTGTAAAGGGAAGGTCATGGTTTCGAACTTTGGTGGTGGGTGCATACTGATTAAAATTCCAAAGCGCTAGGACGAAACAGCTGGTTATCCAGTACCCCTAGGTTGTTTTTCCGATGGTTCTCTAACCGATGTCAGCTCATGATGAAATCCTGTAATCAGTTTTAATTATTTTATGATCTTGTCACTGTAGTAGAACCCAAAGAAGTTTATGGTGGGTGAATATTCTTTCTTCACAACTTATCGTAGTCTTTTGATGGAATAAATTTATGTTGAACATCTTTTGACTAATTAAAATAATGAATTTATTTGTTTTATGGTTTTCTCTTCATTATTTTACAGTTTTCAAAAGATGTTTAAAGCATAAATTAGCGGCTAAACGAATTCAACGTTGGTGGAGAAGTGCACTGGCCAATCGTCAACTTGCATTAGAGCAGTATTCAACTGCCTTAACAATACCATTGTGTAATGAAAGTCATAATAATGATGATGATTATGATGATGAGTGTGATAAAGACAGTCTCTTTGATGATAACTCATCGGATGATATTCAATCGACACTACTGTCAAATCAAGGAATAGCAGGTGAACAAGACATTCAAGAAGTTGAGATTAATCGTCATCCAACATCATCCCCTTGTTTTCATTCAGTCCTTGAATCGACCGATTTACCAACTCGTCGAGAGCATATTATTTCACGTCGTTATCTACCACGATCGACGAGTAATCCTCATCATCATCATCCTAATAATAATAATAGTGAGACAACATTTTATAGTCAATACAACAATACTACTACCACTCATGGTAGTAGTAAATATGGAAATTTAAAAAAACAATCTAACCTTCTCAATTATTTAATACCTTTTTGTTATAAAAGTCATTTTCTTAGATTTTATGAAACCCTTGAATCTGTTAAAGGCCTATTAGATATCATATATGATCAATAATAGTATTAATAAACTTTTTTTAGAAATAATTTTATTTGTTTTACCACCCCTTTTCCATTCCAAGTGGAACATAGGACTTCAGCCTTTTCGAATCCTTTTAGTAATAGTGTAACGATAGAAGACAGGGGTCAGGTAACAGATCGTTTATTGAGAAAATCAACAGACATTTACAGGTTTTTATGCACATTATAATTAGCGTTATTGTTAACAGAGAAGCAACGTCTTCTGATTGGTTGTTTTCTTGCTCAAGGTTATTCTGTACTGCTTGTGACCGTTTCTCAGAAATTTAAGCCATGTATCTGCGAATCATATTTGCACACGTTAAGTCTGTTGCGATTGGTTGGTGAGTTCCTCATGGTTAAGCTTTGTTACTGTTTTTTTCTCATGACCCTGGTTCGGGACGTGTAAACATTGACGTAAACTGTTATCTACAATTTTAGCTTGCGGACAGCTCTAACCATAGTAGTAGTGTAAGGAAGAAAAGACCGATAAGGTTCGAAGGAATCTTTGTTCGGAAAAAACTCATTGTAGGTATATAAATTTGGTGTACCATTATCTCGAATGCTTTGTATGCACATTATATGGAAATTGGTTGTGTTCTGCACAGTGTTTCTAATGTTTTTCACACAGTTCTGTTCTTCATTTGCTTTTTCCAGTGTCGGAAACATATTGTTCCTTTTGTGAGCTTGTTTATTTATATGCTACTTATATCTGATTATAAGTAACACTCATCACAGTAGAGTGGGCGGGGTTGTCAGCTTCACACTCGCTCATCCTTCTGTTTTTTCTCTGACTTACTATCAGCTGGTAAAGTGGAAGAGTTTTGGTAATGAGTTGGCGCTTATCCGAGTATATAAGAAGGGAAATAGGTTATCCTGTGATAATAATTGTTTTTATGAGACTCTGTTTTTAGCTCATAAATTAGAAACGATGACACACACACAGAGGGGGTTTCAGTGTTCTTCCATACAGGTCTACTCAGTGATGTCGCTTGTTACTCCTTCGTCCTTTTCCTGATGACGGCTAGAAAGCTATCCTTTGTAGCTTCGACATTCAGTTTCTAGGTGTTGAACTTCATCTTGAAGATTTCTTGGACTAGATAATGATGAATGGTCTGAGTTAATATCTGCTTCTCTTCGCGATTCTGTATTCAATAGGCTGCGTCTCCACTTTCTTGAGATTGAGAGGCGAGAGGTCTATGTAAATTCTGGTGTATGGATATGGTGAAGTTTATGTTGCCTTGTGTGTTAAGTGCTTGCCAAGTTTTGGTTCACGGGCATTTTATTGGTTGCAGATTTGACCACAAGATGACATCGGTAGGACAGTTGTTTTGTCCTATTCTCAGCAGTATGCATCCACTGGGGTTTGAACTCAGCACTTTCTGGTTGGTTACAAGGTGAGCTACTAGATGGGATCCGATCCAATGGCCCATGAATTCCAACTTCTGCCAATTTACGATATATATATATATATATATATATTCAGAACAAAATAGTTGGAGCGAACAATTGTGGTTTCAATAAATCCTTCTTCTTCAGGCTCTACAATTATAATTCCATTCATTTAAGCATACAATAGCCTGCCAGCCAGTAAAGGCAAATTAGAAACATAGCAGAAAGTGTATTGTGGAACAAGTATAAGTAAGATGGGATGGAACAATGATTCACCAATAGTTCTTTTAAGTTTATACCACATGATCTTTATTATTTTACAATCTTTACTATTTTACGAATTTGACCACGGATTGATATCAGTTAGAGAACTACCATGGAAAACCAGGGAGTATTAGACAGCTGTTTCATCCTAGTTTTGGGAATCATCGGCAGTACGCACCCACCGACAGGGTTTGAACACAGGATCTTCCGGTTACAAGGTAAGCTCGTATACCATTCATCCAATAGTCGTCGCGCTAAATCATGAATCGGTAGAAGTTAGAATTCATGGGCCAATGAATTGGGTCCCAGTGGCTGAATGGTATACCAGCTTTCCTTGTAACTGGAAGATCCTGTGTTCAAACCCTGTCGGTGGGTACGTACTGCCGATGATTCCCAAACTAGTATGAAACAGCTGTCCATTACTCCAGTGCTGGTTTTCAATGGTTCTCTGACTGACATCAATCCATGGTCAAACTCGTGAAAGCAAAACTAATCCTCACAAACCTACTCTTGAAAACCATTACTACTGTCGTTATTTTCAACCTTGAACTTATGTCTAGTCCGCCCCATTTATTGGTTTATTTTCATATTCTCTTACACACCCTGATTACGCTCACTCTCACAAACTGTATTTTTCCTGACTATATTTATATATATTTACACACATGATTAAATTATTTCATCTCATGTTCTCATTGACCATGCATATTAAAAAACTATCTGACTATTGTTCCATCCCATCTGACTTACGCTTGTTCCACAATACACTTTCTGATATGATTCTAATTTGCTTCCACTGGCTGGCTGGCTATTGTATGCTTAAATTAATGGATTTATAATTGTAGAGCCTGAAGAAGAATTTATTGAAACCACAATTGTTCGCTCTAACTATTTCGTTCTGAATAAATTATGGGGATATTCAAGTTATATATATATATGTATATATATATATATAACTTGAATATCCCCATAATCTATATATATATATATATATATATATATATATATATATAGAGAGAGAGAGAGAGAGGGAGCAACTGTCATTCGATTTCACGAACAAAGTCCACCAAAGTCAAACAAGAGAAAAATTACTCGCGTTGATTTCCCGATGGTTCTCTAAGATTCGTGTTTATGCTGCAGTCAGTTACAAGATCGCTAAAGACGTAGAAGTTTCTCACCTCAAAAACGATTATTTACCTTGTCATTAGTTTTCTCTTTCAGGTGCGTATATATGAAGCCATGTCGTATACAGAATAATGACTACCAAAGGGAGAAATCAGTTAGGTGATACATTGTCTTATAATCAGTGTGTCTGTATTCTCTTAACTGGGTGGGTCGTTCCATTACGAAGCTATCCTTGTCTCTCTTCTAGAAACAGCATCTTTAGCAATCAATTCATCGTGGACATATATTGGCAGTTTGATTGATAGATGGATAACAGTGGAGACTAAGAGATGTTGGCTATATAAGATAGATTATAGCCTCCCACCGCATCACTCTAGGGGATTGTTTTATCCCTAAAACCATCAGAGACTATCTGAATAGCTTGAGTTTTCGCCTGTTTCATGCTTCAGAATTGTATTTTAAGAGTATTTTTCTATTTGATAGAAGATATTATTTATGTAAAATCATTTATATCCAAATTGAATGTAATAAGTATCCTTCAAATGTTAAATAACTCTGTGAATAGAATATCCATTTCTGATGATTTATCAGGGGACTACTGTCATCTTTTGTTCATATCATTATTATTATTGTTGTTTCCTTTAATTCCTAGAGGAACATAGGGCTTCAGCCGCGCGTCTCCATTGCGTTCGGTTCTCTGATAGAGTCTTCACCTGGCTCCAAATCTGCCCACACGTTTTCATCTCCTCTTCACATGACCTCCTCAAAGTCACCCTTGCACTGACGACCAACTCACCGCTTCTCTTTTGGGTTCCACTCGAGCAATGGCTTGTCTAGTGATGTCACTTGATTGTTTCCTCGAAGTATGGCCAATCCATCTCCATTTCTTCCTGCCTATTTGTTTCACAATCGGTTCCTGCTGGGTTGGTTCGCTCCCAGAGATCTTCGTTGCTGATCTTTTCTGGCCCGCCATCTGATCTTGAGTATTGAGTGAAGACAACTGTTAATGAAGGTGTGTAGTTTGTTTGAGATGGTCTTTATGACGCTCAGTGCAAGTCTCTGATCCGTATAGTAGCACTGACTGACTTCACATTGGAGATGAAAATCCGGATCTTATTTTTGATGCTGAGTGCTATTGACCTCCACACAGACTTGAGAGTAGTGAAAGCTTGTCTTGCTTTTCCGATCCTCACTGTTTTGATATCCTCGTCAGTTCCGTCTTCCCGTAGTTGAAACGATGCTTCCCAGGTTGGTAGGTAAAGGAGGTTGTTTCTTTCAGGTTCCTTCCATTTATGCTGATTATTGTCTGTTGTTGTTGTTGCTGTTGGTGGTGTTGCCCAGGAATCTTCATCACCTCTGTTCATTTCATATATATATATATATATAATCTGTATTGATAATTTTTCTGAAAAAGAATTGCTACTGATACAATGAATAACAGGTGATACTGATACTCTCCCTCCTCCCTACCCCTTCTCCCTCCCCTTGAACCCTATTTTGTCAGTAATCCCCCTGATGCCCATGATGGCTATATGATATTCATTATTATAAAAGTTCTGTTTGTATTTCCCAATGAATGAAAAACAACTTAATCGTTGTTCTGCAGCATGGGTTAATTTTTACGTTGTCGTCAGAATTTTAATGATTACGTTCGACTAAAAGTTCATGGTCGTAGATAACTGAATATGAAAATATACGTATATGTATATATATGCGGTGTACAGTGGTGTGTATATGGCTAAACAATTGTAAAACGTTTGTTAGCTTCTCCATAAGAAGATAGAGACAATCGGGAATTTTGACCAAATATGATTAATTGTTGATACATATCCATTTTTTTATTAATTAATCAGGATTTGCCATGTATCAGCTAACATTACATCTTCACATCTGTTCAAACTGTTGGGATTCACCCAAATATGTAGGGCTTCTGCAGTCAGTCTTTCTTTACATGAACTAAAACCTTTATGTAAAAGCTTAGTCTACTTCTCACTGCGGGTCCAATTATTTTGTAACTATTCTGTCAAATCTTGATCACAGTTCATATGAACAATCAGGAAATATTAGCTAAGTCTTTATTATCAACTGAAGAAGTTATAAAATGCTTAAAACTTTGTTTGGAATCTACATATTTTACGTTTAAAGATAAACTATACTGTCAAACAAATGGAGTTGCAATGGGCTCACCAGCATCTCCAATTGTAGCTAACCTTTATATGAAAGTCCTAGAAAAGAAAGCATTGACAAGT